ATATATAATATATGATTATACTAAGCATGTAACTGAACACAATCCCTTACCTGTAAAAAAATAAAAGTTACTTTGCTATTTTTTTCTTCGCCTGTCCTTCATTTGCTCCGCAAATCTTTTCATGAAGATATCTGCCAGCCGCATCAGCTTACCATAACAATCAAGGTGGAATATCGCTGGAAAGTCCCACAAAATCGCCACTAATCAGTTTCTGCTCAGTTTTTCAGTGGTTTTCATTTTTTTTTATAAACAACCCTACTCAACAAGTAGTAGTAGTGTAGGCCAACAATGTCTCTCTGGAAGGTTACACACTAAGTGCAAAATTTCATCTAGGCTAACTGACTCAAGCATGTGACAAAATCTCTAGTGCGATAGTGAAGCCAGGATGCCTGATGTGCTTCAGTTTGTGAAGCTTCAAATGAAACCTCTTTCACGTGGTCATGGGTATGGTGAACAAAAGTAAAATACATGGAAAATGCAAAAACAGGTCCATCTCGAGTTCTGCTGGGCAAGACAAATGTATTATAATAATCTTTACTCTTTGCAACATTGCCAATGGCTGTCAGCGGCATATCCATTGTTTGATCAAATTAATCGAACTTGATGAAGACATCTCTTTCTTTAAATATATCATCAATATCAGCAGCTCTAGAAGAAGCTGAACTTGTAGTTGCTCTCTTTTTTGGAGCTGGTGTGCCACAATATGATGGATGATGGTGGTACTTTTGGAAATTTTGTTGGAGACTCTGAGGACACTATAAATCTTCCAGCCCGTGTCAAAGGTACCAGGTTTGAAGTGCAGAGAGCAAACTCTCATATTATAATCCGTGACATCTTCTATGATTAATTTATTTGGAACACTTTTGATCCACTATGCCTTTTTTCCGAATCTTTTGGAAATCTATATTATTGTTATTTTGCATCTTCCTTTTGGCTGGCATAACCACTTCTACTACCCCATCCCCTAAACTTTCTTCCCATGTTCAAATGTTGCTCACACGGTTCTTGCGCTGAAACTGAGACGTCAGCTGAAAACTTTTTCACAGTAACAGTAGATTCTAGTAACAACAACATTCAAGATGAAAGAAAACTAAAATCTGGGCTGAACACTAAGACACATAATATAAGCACAAATTTAATCCTTAAAATTGAGTGTAGTGAAAATGTCCAAACGGAAAAAAACGTGTGCATCCCCAAGAGGACTGAATGAAACAATGAAGAGGCTCGGCACGCAGAAACGTAATGCAAAAATGATCCATCACCTGTATACGTATTAGTATTAGACTAGACGGTCAGAGAACGATAGTATAAGTACGTATAGGTATTAGAACATCTGCCTATCGCCGCTTTTAGCATTTAATCGCCGCTTTTCACATTGATCCTCGATAAGATAAGGACCGGTCTCGAGGCGAGCTGATCAAGATAAGGTCGTCCACCCCGGCCCCCAAGGCCGGAGCCAGTAGTGCGGGCTGGATGGCCTGGGACTGAGGAAGCCTAGATGGGGGTCCGTCAAGGAGTTTAGAACTAAATACAACACATATGCAAGGCATTTTTACTAATTGACTTGCCTAATCTCAAGGACCTCGGAATAAAACCTTCTTTCTTATCTAGATTTCAGTGCGTGAGTCGGGGATTCGCGCAGCGCAGGTAGACCGCAGTTCCGCCGCGAGAGAGGGCTCCTATCAGGCGTGCGGTGCCGCCGACAGAGCATCCTCCATTACTTTTAATCTCCTTGGGGTCCGTACATAATTTTATGAATTACAGTCGGTCAGTTCTACATTATTATAACGCCCCTCCCCTTGGGCATCACGCATCCATACAGTTTGAGGTACCTCATGTTCGGTCACGGCAAGCCCGAGAGCTACTCTCCTAAAACACACCTGGCGCTCTGCCATTCGCTTGCCTCAAGTCTAAGCATGGCTAACTAATCGTACACTGTGTAATAGGCTATACGTTCTTACACTAACCGTTCTCTGACCGTCTAGGTAATAGGTTATCATAGCTTCGAGTGCACAGACCGTTGATCCGTCTTCGTGTAACACATCTCTACTCTCTCTCTCTCTCTCTCTCTCTCTCTCTCTCTCTCTCTCTCACACACACACACACACACACACACACACACACACACACACACACACACACACACACACACACGCACACACATGCACATACACACTCACGCATGCACTCACTCTATTTTCTTCTCTGTCCTTCTCTCTGCCCTTCTCTCTCTCTCTCCTACTCTCTACCCCCCCCCCCCCTCTCTCTCTCCCTCTCTCTCTCTTGCTTCTTTTTTTATTTGAAGAGAAGATACACATTTTGTATTAACAATCAAAGAACTGTGGAACTGGAAACCTTGAAAAATCAAAGACAAAAAAATATATAATATATATACATGTATATATATATATCGTAAAAACGTTAGAATTCATTACTGTTTGCCTCTCACCCAGCACTATCTCTGTATCTAAAATAAAACAAGCTGCTTACGAGTGGATGCAATTGGGATGGTTCATTTGAGAGACTTGCAACCAGATTCTATGAAAGCTGTACTACACAGGTCTTCAACGTGATTGAATTAACTATTATCAATAATTCATATTTTGTTGGTCAAAGATAGCACCGAAGCATTTTCAAGCGGGCAAATACGAATCGCCGTGTGAAGGCTGTGCGCCATCTAGATCACGTGACCTTAAACAACAAGCAAGATGGCGGACAGTACTGCAGGTGAATGAGTAGCCTGTTCTCAAAACAATACTGAGACAACGGTCCCCTTTGAATTAGTTCCCTCTGGTTTTAACATTTTCACCTTGAAACACTCAATTTTAGTTTAGTCTTTAACATCACTCATTGCTTATTCACTCCATCATTGAATATGGCCCAAACCGAGTTTGCGATAAATCATAAAATTTGACTCGACCGCCAGTAGACGAAGACGAAGTCAGCAAGATCTACGACGCACTCGTTCATTCAACTTTAAAAAATCAACTCGTTGAATCGTGTGTAGTGTGCGCATGTACATGTTTAAATATTCAGAATCGTTTAAAGAATAATAGATCTAGATCAGGGCGTTTGAGGTTGTTTTTTTTCTGTTATGGAAGCAAAACTGAATGTTCTCCGCTAGGCTAGTCCGCTAGGCTAGAACTGTGTCTGTGGCTATTGCTATGCGGCATGCGTACGGTACCCTGCCCCCTGGTATATAGACTCGTATGGCCCTTTAAATAAAGTTTAGATTTAGAATCTAGGGTAAGCCGAATCTAGAATCTAGATTTAGATCTAATCAAGTATGCTCTCGGCCTTGATAATCGCTCAGCTGGACCTCATCACTTATCGATCGATTGGCCTTCTATCTTGGCCAAGAGATCGGTGATTTTGTAGTTTCGTTCGTTAAAGTCAAGGGTAGGGGGTTTCAGTGCCCCCCTGACCTAATAAAAATATGGAGAGGAGGGGGGGTTCAGGGGGGCATTCGTGCTGTATATTTTTTGATTATTTACAAGAGTTCGGCGTCATCTTTAATCGAAGTGACTATTCGGACTCGAGTCCGAATATGAAAAAATGTGCTATGAAAAAATGTTATTCGGACTCTGATTCTTGTCCAGCATGACATCACTTCCGAATTCCTGTGACTCGTGAATTCCTGTGACTCGTGACTCCTGCTTCCTGTCCTGCCTCACTCGTGACTCGCCTCAGGCCGGGTAGAGACCGGGATCACTTCGGGCAAAATGGCTTAAATGGCGTTAAATTGTGCCTGAGCCGAGTTTTTATCTTATGATGAATTTGAGGCCGGCCTGAATCGTTAGAGCGCTTCTAATAAATGTTTATTTGTCAAGAGGTCATCAGAAGCAATTAAAGAGATGGCTTGTTAGCGTGTGTCGGGGTCGGATGGGCGGCGTGCACACGTGTGGCTGTGTGTGCGTGTCGGGGAAGGGTGGGGAGGTGGGGCGCTATCGGTCCGGGCGTTGAACGTCGCATACGCGTCAGTCCCCCCCCCCCTGCAACTGATCATTATTCATTATTACAATAATAAGCTAGTCTTGACGTACATCTACGTAATGAATTGTGCGCTGGTTTATGGAATCAAAAGTTGCCGTATGCTCAGCTCTACACAGCAACACAACTTTTTCTTGGTAAACAATCGAGACGACACAGGCTTGTGTATTTTAACGAATTGGTCTTTTATTTTTACACAGCTCATAATATGCAGGTGCCAGGAGATCTGCTAATCTTCAATTTTACCTTTTTCTACAACAAAGAAAGTGGGAAACATGGGGGGGGGGGGGGCGTATCAATGAGGCGGCGGGCATCGGATCAGCAGACAAGGTGTGGGGGAAACTAAAAAATGGCGGAAAATTGGAGGCACTGAACGTTAGATCTATAGAACGAAGACTCTTCATTTTTTCCGGACCCGTGTCCGAATAACATTTTTTCTTATTCGGACTGGAGTCCGAGAATATGAAAAATTTTTATTCGGACTCAAGTCCGAATATGAAAAAATGTTATTCGGACTTGAGTCCGAATAATGACGGCTTCTTTAATCCTGCCATTCGGCGAGTACTGGGAAGCAGCATTTTTTTCGTTGAATTCAATTTCTAGAGCAAGAGATTTTCAGATGTCTGAATATTCAGGTACTTCTGTTGTGGTTAGTGCAACGGTCCCGGACTATATATTTCATTTCAAAATGCCTTAAATGACAAAAGTAGCAATGCCAATCGGGCTTTCCCGCGCGGCGAAAATTTGGTCCCCGTTTACTGGCGATTTTGCGGACCCGGCCGAAGCGTAGGTGATTAACTTTGTCAACCTCTGTCTGCTCTATTTCCAAACCAATCCGAATGAAACTCGGCAACCAATCAGAAAATAGGGAAAACTAATGATATGTGGACGTTGAAGTTCGTACACATAAATTAACCTATACTTTTGGTGTCGGGAACACTTTCGTATCGTGTACACCGAAAACTATTTATAAAGGAGTTTGAATTTCAACGCCGAGATGGTAATAGATGTATCTATTCTCTATAGTGTGCTCAAATTTGAACGTTCTGTGTCAAGTAGTTGTTTAGACCCGATCATAAATACACGACTACCCCCCTATCCAAAGCGGCTTCGCACGGAGACCGGCCATTTTCCCCTCACTCTCGTGGCATATGTATGTGACCTTCAAATCCCCGCATGACTATTTCGGGCCCATTCATTGGTCACTTGAAATAGGGCAATGGCGGGCGCGCGCGCATCCGGTTGTTTTTCTCTCTATTCCCCTGTAACATCGCAATGGGGGTATTCCGAGGCGAGGTTATCTCGTCTCGGGGTGTTTGCGTCTCAACGGGGAAAAAGAATTTTTAATTGTACGGCATGCTAGATTGAATTAACTTTTTATCTTTTACGGTTGGCGTGGTCTAAAGTCATCATAAAAAGCTTTGCAATTATTTAGTCATGCTGCCGACATATATTCTTAAAGATCCCATGTTGTGATACGATGCTATTTAAATAAAATGGACTCATCCCGACACCCCTTTTTCGCAAAATCGTAATATGTACACCAAAATTTTAATTATAACAAAATAACTACGAAATTGGTAGTAAATCTGACTGCAGAAATGATTTCTACACTCAAAAACACATCGGGTGGCCAAGTTTCTCTCGAACACTCCGATTAGTTACCGAGATATCGTCGATTTTCTTACAGAATCTGCTACTGCGTGGTCCACGTTTTAGGAGTATTTTCCTATATTTTGCCGACCTTTACAACCCCATAACTTTTTTATTTATGAACCGATTCTTAAAATTCAAGAAGCTTAATTCTTAGGATTGAAAATTCTTTCTTAGGTACCAAAAAAAGGGAGCTAAAGTGAAAATTTAAATTTTCATTGGCATTGCTAACAAAAGGTACTGCAAGAAAGCAAGACTGCTCGACTTTGCCAGTTCTTAATCTATTTTGCTTTTTGTCACCCCTAAAGCAAAAACTAAAAACAAAAAAAAAGCTTGATCTTGTCTTACACACACTCAAGAAGTCTCATTTATAGACAGAAGAAATGAGTGGCTATCCCTCTGACTGCTGATGTCTGCTTCTTGATCTAGCCTTTCATGACAATGATGAACAAAATCAAAATCTTCTTGTACATATTGTGTTTAACTTAAAATAGATCTAGATCTAGACCTATTTAATTATTTAATTTGTCTAGTGCATTCATTGCTTTGATTTTGATAAAAATTAGTTACAAGAAAACATCCCCTAGTCCTAGATCTAGTGCTAATGACATGACTGAACAATTGAAAATCCATCCTCACTTGTGTGCTGTCAGTGTCTCTGTGGTGCAGAGAGAGATATTCCACCTACTTCCATTAAAAGTCTTTTAGTTCTCTCTCTTTTGACACTTACAGTACCGTCAGCGAAAAAATTAAACAACGAATGGACGCACTGCACTGAAGTAAACACCAAAGGAAGTCACCTGTGTGATAGCTGAATGGTTGATGAACCTCTCTGAATTTTTAGAACGTGTTTCTTGGGCTGCCAAGGTTTTTGTAATTTAAAAAAATTCTAACAGGGCTTCAGCGTTCTAAACTGGTGCGGTACCCAAGGGTTTTTCACTATTATAATAATTTAGCCTTCGGTACTGTAAGTGTTAAAGGATTGGACTTTTCCTGAAGTTTCCAGATTTATAGAAGTATATCTTTAAACAAGCTCAAGTGTAGAAAATGGTAAAAACGTTTGGTCTAAAGAACTAGGATTTTTATTACAATCCTTTGCGAGCAACTTTTGGCTACTGATGATATTTTCCTACATTTTTATTGATTGGATGATGACAGATTTACTCAGTTCATCAGAACCTCTGTCGATTTTGAAGTTTGTCATGGACTTGATTTTTACACAACACTGAGAGCCAGATTTTGTTGTGTTTTTTTCTGGCTTTTTTTGGAAAAGCTTTCTTTGTTGGTGGCTTCGCTGTGGCTCTTGTAAATTTTTCACATTAGAGGGTGATGTCCCTTGCATTTCAAGTGTCATTGGACTTGTGCCTTAACTCTGAGCTGGTTGTATGGTGTTTGTCCTGTGGCAGACCAGGCCTACTACAAGAAATAGCACCAATATCCGATATCCTTCATGTATATACCTTCTTTTACCAGTTTCTGTCACAGGGCTTGAATTACGTGTTCAGGAGGGCAGGTAAAAATTGCTTTGGTGGGGGCCTAAAAATCAGGGGACACCGAGGCAATTTGCTAGGGCATCAAGGCAAAAATTATAGGTGATCATTCTGTTGATTAAAGTTGGTACTGTATTGTGCATCACAACGTTTTTAAAATAACAATACAGTATATTCTTGCTCTCTACAAAAGTATAGTTATCGGAAATTTTTTAAAATCATGAATGAAAACTAAGTAAATCACAGTAAAATCACGCCAAAATAAAAAAAGCACAAAAAAATCAGTTTTAAATCAAATTTATGATCACGATTGCATCTGACTTTTATGCCTTTATGACTAGCTCTTATTGATTGGATTAATAATATGAATGAATATGACTGTTGATAATAGGACACGAGAGAAAACAGTAAATAATATGACCAATTAGGTAAGCCATGAATCATTTGAGATTCAAACACAGTGGTTTACAGGCTGTGTAGTGATAAAATAAAAACACATCATGGTAAATGAAAACAAATTTTGAACTTGTATATATATGAAAAAGAAAAAATGAGGAGTGAAAACAACTTATGAACCTGTTTGAAAAAGAAAAGAATGAATTACTAAAAACTGCTGTCTAGCAGTTAAACAGTGTGAGGTTCTGACTTATAGATGCTGAGTGAAAACAAGTTTTGAAAATACATGTTTTAAAGTACATGTATGTTATATAAAAAAAGACTTAGGACTAGATCAGAATATTGAAAATATGTTGGCACACACAATATAGAAAAAGACTGGCTTACTGTTTGTCCCTATGGGAGGAAACAAGTGATTTTGAAAAGTATCACCAAGAGAAGTTGGTTTCAGAGAGAATAGTGCTGTTTTATTAAGACGTCTATTTGTGAGACACATCTTTTGCCACATCTCTCACATCTGCTGTCTTCTGTTTCATCCTGAGCTTTTTTCAGACACTGCTGAGGTTTGGTATCATTGGTGTGAGTGTGTTTGTACTGGCCATGACAAAATGGACCCAATTGTCAAGCTGAGCAGTGTCTGACTGAAGTTTTGATGAGATTTCAGACAAGTCTGACAGGATTTCTCCACCCTACCCCCATTGGTTTATTTTCATGGTGACACATTTTTTAAAACAAAAAAAACAAGGGCACAGCAAAAATTGCCGCGGCTAACCCTTTGATTTTTTAAGGGCATTACGGCAAATTGCAAAGGCACCAAGGCAAATTGCCGCGGTCTATTTCAAGCCCTGCTGTCATGATGATTGAGTAGTTTCGTACTCAAGTAGAGACCTCTATTATGTCTAGTGATAAAACCAGTGTTGGTACTATTAGCTGTCCCAGTCATTTTATGCAAGATAAATTCTGAAATTATGCAAACTGAGCCCCAAAATGGGAACTTGCGATTCTGTTAATTTAACAAAGAATGATAAAGGAAAATAATAAGAAATTATGCAAAAAAAAGATCAAATTTTGCTAAATTATGCGGGGTGCATAAAATCACGGGGACAGTATTAGAGAAGCAAGTTTTACCTTTTTGGAGCCCAGGGCCCCTGTACCTTTGTTCTGTAGGGACAACTCCTCTACCTTTGTTCTGTAGGGACAACTCCTCCTAGATTTACTCCTCGTCACACACAGGAGTTGTTTTTATATATTTCAATTTCAGGTCTTATTTTATGTCAAGCTGTTTTTCTTTTATCAGAAGCTCATAACGTGCATTTTTTCTATATTTCTCTTAGATTCAACTAAAAGTGAAGATGACAGTCAGGAGTCTACTACATCTAAGGTAAGCAAAGCCATCATAAAATTCTCTTGAGAACTTTTACTGCTGTATTGTCTCTGAGACTGTTTTAGTTTTTGCCTAGAGATGCTAATCATCCAGTTGTTGTCTTAATAATGAAATATAATGTCTTACACAATTATAAACACGTTTTGCAGCCTAGCTAGTCTGGGGCTGGGTGGAAGAATACAATTTAGAAATTCATCATAACTTTTGTCCTCCCTTTTGTTAATTCTATGAATTTACAGGTTTTGCTCACAACAATCTGCAAACAGACACATTGATCATTGTGCTAATTGCTATTATTTAGTAAGGGGTGTTTTTCCACTTTTAATTCTAGTCCTGCAAGGTACTTTTTTATCAGAAGAGTAACAAGTTTTAATCATTTTGAGTTTAGATTCTGAGTTTTAAATTGTCAAACTAACTGTAGCAGATGTGGAGCAAGATATATTTTCTAATTATTGTAACTTCTTTCCATCTAGGTTTCATCCTCTTTCAGTTCACCCAGCGCTCACAATAATGCAGGTATGTATTCCAATTTTTTGCAGAAATTTTGAATGGTTAAATTCAGCTTTTTAATCTATACCCATGTACATTGACTTGTAAGTTTTGTTGTCAGTATTGACTGTGCTCTATTCCCTTATTAATTTTAAAAAGAAGAAAGTTAACAACCAATCAGTATAATTTTACTTTCACATTTCTCTGTCAAAATTGCAACTGTGATATTCTCTTTGAACTTTGATATGGGTTGTAGCTGCCATTAATGCAAACTGTTTTGTGCTAAATATTCATGTTTGTCAATATATTCCACTTGGACGAAGGATACCGCTAGTAAGTCAATACATTATTTTTTTCACAGGTCCAGAATCTAGCGTGTCAGCAAGTGATAATAATCAGGTGACAAGCAACTCATCCGACACCAGAGACTCTCACTCTGTCGTGCAACCGTCAAAATTTGGCTCGTCTGCACCTTCAGGCTTCTGGGGTAAGTGTTAGAGAAGTGAACAGTCTACTCTGCTATTTTGAGATCCCTACATTAGGGCTGATGACAGCGGTTTAAAAAAAAAAGAACATTATCACCTTAAGATGGTGTGATATGAAAAGTCTTTGTGACTTGTGGTAGACTTGACAGAGCCGCAAAGAATTTGTAATTTGAATTAATTGTGTGTGGATGTGTGTTGGGACAGGGAGCTGTTATCTTTTGATTTACTGAAGAGCTTTTATGTTCCCGAATTTTCAAATCTTTGTTGAAAATTCCGCATTTTTTCATTTTCTTAGGTGCATATTTTTTGTTACCAGTGTAATTATTACACAGGGCGTCATTTTTCGCCTGATTCTGTTACCTTCAGTTAGCGTGAGTCAGCATCCCGCCAGAGCTCCCCGGCTCAGGGTCACGGGGTTAATGAGCCCTGAAGCGACTTTGCCGGTGTCGATTAAGAAGTTCGCATTTTGTCTACATTAAAAACGATATCACTTCTTCCCCATTCCAAACAGCAAACCATTACACGCATTAAAAGCTCAATGTCTTGTGATTTATTTTGCATTAGAATGGTTAATTTCTGTACCTTAGTTTTTGTTCTAGATAAGTGTTTGTAGAATACCCAATTTGTCCTATTTTAGTTACGTACTTATTAATAAATTATTGTTTATTTTAAAATGGCACGACAGATCTCTCCAAGATCCCGTCCACAGTGTCACTGCACAGCGTAGCTCTGTAGTCTGCTCGATTAATTGAAGGCTTGCAAAGCAGCGGACAGCCGTCAAGTCTCAAATCCAGTCCGCAGCCACAAGTCCCACGATTCACACAGTACTGATTTGCGCTAGGCCTAGTTAATTGTCCCAGGACAAGCTCGAAACATGACCTGCTGACTTGTGCTGTCTCGCTACAGCGAGCGAGCGGCAGACAGCAGGACCGCTCGATGTGTTCAAGTGGCAGTACTGCTCGCTGTGTGAACTTTGAACCATGGAGGAAGGGAGAGGCTGGGCTTGTTTTGGTGCAAGACGTAGAGAGCTGAAGTTATTTTTAACTTCCCGCCGTTGATCAGTTAAGAGAGTGGATAAGTGAGAGGGAGCGTGGTATTGTACCTAGGTTTCTGGTAGTAATAAGAATAAGTAGACTTAGATTACCCTGGAATGGAAAACTCCAGGGGTTGTTGTGGTTGGCTTTTGTATCGTATGTATGTAACCTATTTTGTAAATGTGTTACACTCACAGTAACATAATACAGAACATTTAGGAGACGGGCTAGGCCTACTTCAACCCAATGTCAGGGCCAAACAGAATCTTTTGTACTATGTACTGAGCTCACAGCAACGAAGGTTCGCGGCATCACGACACAGTACAGCAGGACTGTCCGCGATTCACAACTCTCCGGAAGTTCCCCCCGGTGGCAAGCAGGAGGCAAAGCACTTCACAAGTCTGCTTGCAAGCCTCTAGCGCAAGCCGTCCGCTGCTTTGCAAGCCTTCGATAAACCAAGCAGAATCCAGCCCTAAAAAGAAATCAGAACATTGTCAGTTATTGTAAATGGGTATAGAAACGAAAATAAAAGCTGGAAAAGCCTGGTGCTGATTCAGTGTCACTGACTGGAAAGCTTGAAGAGAAGCCATCTCTGTTGTTCAGTCAACTTATAAAACCTAGATCTAGCGTATTAAGAAAAATAAGGAATAATTTATCGAGTGGAACTGATAGCCTACTGTTTGTGTATTACATTGTTGTAGATGTATTCTGGCACTAAAATCGGTTTGTACTTTTTCATAGAGAGACATCAGGATAATTTTGATAAACTTAAGAGAAAATATGCGAATATTCCCGATTATATTAGACACATAAAGTTGTAATTGGAGGAATTACTTCATAGCGAATTGTGTGCCAGATGGATAAAGTTGTCAAATTACAGCCTCCTATTATACGCGCAGATACCATCTTTTCTGAGTATCTGCATCAATGTTATGTCGTTCATGTTCCAAAAGTTCGACAGTTTTTGTTGTGCAGTTTTTTTAATATAGATTTTTTTTCATTCACACTTGTCCAAACTAATCTACAATTTAGCATTGCCGACTTCATCACGTCTAACGAAATAACCAGACAAGTTACACTGTCCATTGTTTTTGGGGTCTCAAGAGCAGAAATGCATGCTTTGAGTGCATTAAATGATAATTACCATAAATACAAGGATACACCTAAAACTGTACATTGAAAAGTACCTAAAATGTAGTCAGCCCATACAGAGCAACTAAAATCCACTGCCCGTTCACCGTGTACAATTTTAGAACTGTAAATTTTGTGTTCGGCAAAAATAAATGAAACTGATTTCTGATCTTTTTCTTGTCTGTAACATACAGATATCCAGGAGTTTGAATTCCTTACAGTTTTTATGTATTTCTAAGTTTGAGTGTCAGTGTTTACTAATTTTTTTATTCTGTTTTTCTTTTCAGCCTTTGGCTCAGCTCACAACCCTGGTAAGTGTTTAAAGTAGCTTAGAAATTAATGGTGAAAATAGTGAAATGGTATAGGTTTAATGCCCCCTATCAACACTATTAGGTTATTTAAAAGGCCATCCCCAATAGGACCAAGCCAAATGGGAAATTCGCGTAAAGTGCCTTTCCCAAGGACACAACGTCAGACCAAGCTGAGGTTTAAACCCATGAACCCGCTGTCTCATGTTTATGAGTCTGGTAGCCTAACCACTAGGCTCCACTAGGCTACCGACGTCACCTCAAAATTAATTACCTTAAGAATCCCAGTAGATTTGATGACATAAATGTTAAATGTGACATTTCCAATTTTCATGCATGCGTTAGTTAAAGCAAAGCAGAAAGAAGTCAATTCTTTTCTGCTTGACCCGTTTTATGTTTTAAGGATGGGTGTAAAAAACGCATTGCTGAAGCTATAGTCTTTTTTTTTTTTTTTTTTGGCTTCTTCTGACTCATTAGTTTATGCACTTGGTTAGAGTTTATGGTTTTATTTTTTTACATTTCAAATGTGCTTTGTTTTAGTGCTATTAAAAGTTGATTTTTATTATTCTTGAACCTATTTGGCAATATCCTTGTTTTTCGGAATGTGCTCTTAGATGTACTGGATAATACAAACAGACAAGCTACCGGAGAAAGCTTTTGATGTTCTGCACAGGGTGAATTATGTGTGAAGGTGTATAATCATTGGTATCTTTAGTCTGATAAGAGGGATACTAGAAAGAAGTTTTATAGGATAATACGTTTTGTTGAAAGTAGCTGTTGAAGTCATGTTGAAATGATGAAAATTTTAAGTTTGCCTTTCTGTTTACCTCTCCAATGGCTCAAGAAATTAAAATATTTTCTTTTTGATTTGATTTTCCGTTGATGCAAATTTTTAAGTACCTGATGAGAGGTTTCTAATTGTAAAACTGATAACTTTTCAGGTGTTTACTCAAATCCCTTTGTCCCGCGTGCCCCTTTAAGGACAGATGTGGTTTCAACTGCATCATCAGTCCCAAGTGAGAGAGAAAGTAAGATTTTAATTTGGTTTTCGTTTTAAAGGTGAATTAAAACGGTGTCTCTACAACTTGTGTTATACTCATGTTTGTGTTTCCCTCTTTTGTGTTGGGAAGTGCAATCCAGATTCTCTATATGCACACTGTGTCTGGAATACAGCATGTTAATTGAAATTGATTTGAGTACTTTGGCTGGAGCTCTTTTTATAGCCAATATACGTGGAGCTTTTTGAAAGCTCATTTCTGGAACTTTGACATTATGTGCCATGTCTTTTGGACTGCTTGTCATGATCTTCTAATTTGATTGTCTGTGATAGGGTTTTAAAATTTTACTTTTTAAAGATAATTATGTACGTTCATGAACCCCCCGGGGTGGTGCTACTGACTGAAGTGTCTTTAGGCCAAAGGAGATATATTAACATGTTCTTATATTCAGTAAGTCAGCAGAATTGTAAATGGGCTGATTCATCAATGTCATGCTCTTATAACTGTGCCTGAACTGTATACAGGGAACTGCTGCTTTTTTTCTTTCCTATTCCTAACTATCGTCATTTTTTCTCTACTTGTTTTGTATGTTTGTCACTCTCTTGCGAACTGCTGTTTCCGGGGTGCCTGATAGTCGAAACGGACTTTGTGCTGTTGAAGCTAGAGAGGTGAGCAGAGTAAGTCAGTTTCCCTGTAAAGACTTCTCTGTTGACACCCACCCCTTGGCGTTCATATGACCTTATGCAGTTGCGAGCTCCGTAAAACCCTCTACTAAAACTAAACTAAAAAGCAGAGTAAGCCTGATTCCCTGAGTATGGATTTCTCTATTGACATCCGACCCTTGGTGCTCATATGACCTTATGCAGTTTCGAGCACCGATAAGACTACTAAAACTAAAATGTACAATCATGGTTTCACAGTGCTCAGTGTTTCTTGCTGAAAATATTCGTTTCTTTATCTTTGTTAGTGGATTGGAGGTGACACATCATTTTCTTTCTTGTGTGTTCACTGTAATTTGTAATTTCTACAACAGGAGTATTCGGATAAAAAAAGAGAAGTCACTGTGGTAGGTTTTTGAAGGAAATGTAATTATCTGAAGTTGTTATCGATGACGGAAGTTACAGCTAAAAAAAAAGCTTATTTTGCGAGCAAATGAACAGATGAACTAATTTTGTCTTTTTTTAAATTGCCTCAGTTGGTGTGTGGAGGATCGCTGTTGTTTTATTTCATATCTTTTGCTTGTATGCTGTACTTTCTTCCAGTTGTAATGTAGAGCTATGATTAGACATGGAAGCATTTTTGTAAAGTCTGAGACGTGGCCAGATTGAACCTGCTCCTATTTTATCTTCTTTTCTCAGTTGAAATAGTTTGCTCTTATTCACTCTCCAAATGAGTCACTTAAGACTCAAAAGCTTTGTTTTGTATGGGTTGAGATAATGGGTCTTTTTTTTGTTCTATGTAAATTTCATCTTCTTCTTTTTCTTCATCTTCTCAGTCGCATTACCCTTGATTAAGTCCGATATCATATACTGTCTATCGTATACTGGGCAGTCCAGCTCAGTTCCCTTATAGCTTTTCCTGTATTTTCAAAGGAGTAGACCATGTTTCCTGTCTCAGGGCTCTGTGTGTTCTGCGCTGCTGGAGGATATCTTTTAGTTTGGTGTGCTTCTCCACTCTAGCATTTTGGTGATTGTACTAGTTTAAAACATGTGTTGTCTGAGTCTTGCGTGTGGTGTTCTTAGTCTCAGTTTTATGATGTTAATTTTGTTTTTTAATTAATTTTTTTTCCACTTTAGGTCTCTTAGCTCCCAGCAGACTTGGTGCAGCTGTCAATAAAGATACTGGAGAATCAGAAGGTAATTTCTGTTGGTAATAAAAAGGATGCCCAGAGAAACTCCGAGTAGTGTCTTGTTTTATACCTCACATATTCTTTGTTCATCCCTCTTTGAAATTCTGGGGCAGTTTTTAATCTTTGTGCAGGCTTTCCACTCTGTGCTGCTGGTCACGGTGAACGTTGTTTCAGAGGACACTCGTTTGGAATGCCTTGGTCATGTTGAACGGTCTCAGACTTACACAGAAACCAAGGGCCAAAGGCAGTGTGCTTTGCATGATTGTTTTGGGTTTCTTTCGATTATGGATATGCTACGTTTAAGATTACCAACCTTCATACATATGAGCATCAATGGACATGTCCGGAGTGCAGGGATGTTGCTTCCTGAAACAAGAGCAAGAACAATACATATGAGCAAGAAATAGGCCTTTCCATGGGAAAAGGAACATTCTGAGCACTAATGGAGCCATTTTTTTATTTAGAACTGCTTGACCTGTTTTTCCTTTATGAAAATATGTTAACACTGAGAATTTACAAATTGTGTTTCAGCTGAAGAAAAGCGTTGCAAGTATTTGAAGCCTTCCATGCTAGCCACACCAAAGTTTGGAGGTATGTCAAAGTACTGTTTTTATAGTGTCCAGTACATGCAGCATGCATTAATTTTTTTGGTTTCCAAGAGAAAATTGTTCATCTGTAGGGTGAATTACATGTGATGTAAAGTCATTCGATCTTCAAGTCCTGATTAGATAGTTACTAAAAATAAGTTTTGAAGGAAATACGGTTTTGTTGAAAGTGGCTGTTGACACAATGAAATTTTGAGTTTGCCTTTTCCTTTTTATTTTCCTCTCTAAAGGCTCAGGATTTGGAGGTGCGAGTCTTGCTCGACCAGAGGTCCCAAGCTCAACTTTCAGTCCAGTGAACTCTTTTCACATACGTCCCTCAGTGTTTTCTGGCCCCAGTGAAGCAAGCCCTGCAAAAGGTGTGTACATTGATGTGTGTGTGTTGTGTGTGTGGAAAGGGGAGGCAAGGCTATGGCCATTTGGCCTGATTTGCATGTTAAATGCGAAATTGTAACCTTTACCTGTGGGTCCGGGAATTCATGTCTTCGTTTTAGGTCGAAGTGGATTTTTTAATGTGACAAGTCCTTTTCTCTCTCAAATATTGCTGGCTACATCTGTGTTTGCACTTTCTCCCAAGTCAAATGCTGACACAACGCCATTAGTTGTTGGTGGTTGGCAGGTGCTCCTTTTTTCCTATCAAATATCTGTCGTGCTTATCTTTCCTCCTTTTTTGTGTATGTTACTGTCTTGTAACGCCTCCTATCTTTGGCACTTATATGACCTGTGTTGCAAGTGCTGTAAAACGCTTACTAATACCAACAAAAAAAACTAACATTTTATGCATGGTGTCATGAATTTGAGGGAACTTTTGCAATGTTAGTAGCTGACTCTGATAAGTAATAATTAAGTACTTAAGTATTTCTGTGAATCTTCTTGAGCTGTGTTTTATCTGCCTGTCTTCTGATTTCTAAAAGCGGGTGGTTGGTGGGTGCTCTGGTGTGGTTTGCTCCTTTTTTTCTATCAAACGTCTATCGTCTTTATCTCCTCTCCTTCTTTTTTATGTTTGTTACTCTCTTGTAACACCTCTAATCTTCTGGCACTCATATGACCTTATGCAGTTGCGAGTGCAGTAAAACCTTAACCAAAACTAAACTAAGATTTTAAAAATCCAATTCATGCTTATTATCGCTTTGTTCTTGTCTCCCCCCAGCCACTGCTCCCTTACTGAAGCCAGCCAAGTTACCTGATCCGACAAAGGCTTGTGATGGTAAAGGTAAAATTTTTAAACCTCCAGTGTATCATGAATTTTTTCCTTCTCCGATTCTAAACTGATTTGAGTGTACTTATTTCTAGTATTTTGAATGTGTTGCAGAATTTATACTGTACTCTTCCTCTTGTGCATACTGATAATATTTTTAAGAAAAAAGGGAGAAGTTTTAAAAACACATTTTTTGCTTGGCTTTGTCACCCTAAAATGAAATCAAAGGCGTGTAAGGTGATGCAAAAATTTTAATTTGATAAAAGATATGTTTGTATATTGAATAAGTTTGATGCCCATTTCTTTGTCATTTATACTGGTACAGAAGTTGAATTAGGGCCACAATGACTTGATATCCTAGAGCTTCTGTTATGATTCCCAGGTGTAGTTGTGGGTATTCCATGCATAAGATTTTTTTTTGCCTTGTCCATATTTGTGTTCAAATAATTTTCAATCATTTACAGTTGTACTGCTCCGTATTTTTAAAAAAAAGATAAATAATGCTATGTAATATACAAATAGAAATGTCACATATGGCATATTTTTTGGATTTTCCTGGGATTCAGGATTTATTATCTTCGAAAATAGAGTCCTGACAATTTTAATGTTTTATTTTTATGTGTAATAAATGGAAAAGTGCCAAGTCTTTCACATGTTACTACTCTAATTTTTATTTTTTCTGGAAGCATTCTGCACACACACACACACACACACACACACCCCTTCCTCTCTGCCCAGTGTGTTTGTCTCATTTTACTCTTTCTCGATCTTCTAGCTGACTCTGCTGGTGACCACGAGGTGACAGAAAAGGCCAGTGAAGCATCTGCCGTCAGCGTCCAACAGGACGGGGCAGAGGGCAGCGTGGGAGCCAATGAAGTCTCATCATCATCTTCGACCTCGTCGTCGTCTGCCCCGGTTCCGCCTGTGCACTGTGAGGCAGATGGCGCCACTGCAGCAGACGCGTCCGCTTACAATCAGGACATTGTGCCAGATATTAGCAAAAATAACAAGTGAGTCTTTGGCTGGCACCTCCTCGCTCTGTTCGGCTTTTTCTTCCAGTGTGTTTTTCAGATATTTAAATATACAGTCATCATCATCCGGTGCCTTGACGACTGACGTGGGCAATCATGGACCTCCACTTCACTTTGTCTTGTGTTGCAGCAATGGTGCCTGTTGTTCTTGCTGCTCCCAGCCATATTGTCAACTTGTCCAGTATCTTTTCCCTCTGCCTCTCTTTCCCTCAAACCCACCTGTTGTTACAATATTCTCCAATGCTTCTTCCCGCATTGTGTGTCCAGTGAAATTTGCCTGTCGCTTTCATATATATTGTCATATATTCAGTAGTCCGGTGCAAATTCTTCAACGGACGTTTTTCAGGTTTAACCTTGTAGGTGTTTTCAGTCTGTGATATTTTGTATTTTGCATTTCCTAGCCTTTTAGATTGTGTTTTTGGTTTTTGAAAGCACACATACAGCAGTCAACCTGTATTTATAAATGTTTTCCGCGGCCTTCTTTTTTTAATAGTTTATGTATGACCTTGGATAGATGTTGTCTTACTTCTTTTCTTTTCATGTATTTATTGTGATCTTGGATCTTGTAACGGGATGGGACCCTTTCTTTTCAGGTCTTGCTGTCCCTTTTTTACTGTCAGCCCTACTCATATCTTTTCATTTTGAATTAAATTTGACCCTCCACCCCCCAGGGCAGTGCCACTGACTGTAGTGTCTTTAGGCCATTCCTAAAGTGGGGACATTTCTCATTCATGCACAGTAGATTTGAAAATGGGCTGATTCATCATGTCACGCTCATTACTGTGCCTGATCTACAACAGGGAACTACTGCTTTTTCTTTCCTAATCCTTACTATTGTCATTTCCCTCTACTTCTTTTGTATGTTTGTCCCACTCTTGTGACCTGCAATTTCTGGGGTGCCTTGATAGTTGAAGCAGACTTTGTGCTGTTGAAGTTAAAGAGGTGAGCAGAGTAAGTCTGATTCCCTGTAAAGACTTCTCTGTTGACACCCACCCCTTGGCGCTCATATGACCTTATGCGGTTGCGAGCGCAGTAAAACCCTTTACTAAAACTAAAACTAACGAATTAAATTGTCTTTGTAGGAACAATCTATATGAATATTTTTCGCTTGTCGTACAAACATTTCGCTCTTGTTTCTACAGGCTGAAAGATTCGTCTGGTGTATCGAGCAGCTCTTCGTCTGATTTTGTGTTCGGGAAAAATCTCTCACAACGGGTCACTGTAAGTAGCCAATGATGAAACCTTGCATTGTGTTTATGTGTGTGTGCCTGGAGAAAGGTCCCAGTTGTCGGCAAAGCTATTTTTGAGCAACGGGATGAGAAGGCCAAAAAAGTTGTAGCAGGTTCAAAATTTAATTCCATCAGGAAACACCTGTTTAACTTTTTCTTAATAACATTTTGAAAGGATTTTATATTTTGAGTCTAAAAAAATTTTCAATTATTTTTGCAACATGTACTTCACTTAAGGTTAAAAACATGCAAGAAATTGGGCTTTTCTCCAAACTTTGTTTTTAACACTCTGTTACAAAATGTTGCATCTTTAAAAGTACTCAAGATATTTGAAAAATGTTTTTTTTAAATATCAGCGTGTTCAGCATTGAATTTGCTTCAAAAATCTATGCCGTTATTCTAATATAAAAAAATTCTGACAACTAGGACCTTTCTCCCTACACACACACACTCACACATAGCCTTAGGGATATTCATTCTCCGTTTTGCACCATCGGAAAAAAATCTAATTTTGTGTTCTTTTTGCTTTTGTGATTCTTTTGATTCTTTTTTCAGTTGGGATAATTTGCCAGATTTTTGTTTTGGAATATAGATGCCTCTTAAATGCAATCTTGAAATCTGGGGGAAACGTTAGTGATGTCTTGTCCGTCCCTACTGTTACTGTTGTCAGTAGTATTGAAGAAGCAGTTTCAGTTTTTGACTAATAAGTATGCATTTTATAACTGTACAATATAGCAGCTGTCATGATTGTAGAGTTGTCACATTGATAGTGAAATGTGTTCTTATATATGCATGTATTGTAATTCTGCTTTCTTATGCAAGCGTTTTTCTTACTGGCTCTTTGATGTTTTGGTGTCAGTGATTTGTGTTTGTTGCAGCTAGACTCTCTCCCCCCCCCCCCCCCCCCCAATGCTTGGCAGCTCTGTAGTAGAGTTGCTTCGAATTCTATGACAAACTGTTGTTATTATTGTGCTGACTCACTGCAGACATCTTCTTTCCTCTCTCCCACACTGCCCACTGAGCTTCTTTCTTGTTCCATTTTCATATTTTAATTTGTGGCTTATGGTTCATTTTTCTTCCTGTTTCGCCTGCTAGGGAGTTACTTCACCCAGCGAAGTCACAAACGAAGCATCAGCGTCATCCGGTTTTGTCTTCGGGGAATCATTGTCATCGCGTGCAGTGACAGAAGCAAATGGGTCTAGTGAATCTCCAGATAAAGATGACAGTGACTCAGATTCAGGTACTTTTATATGATCGTTGCCATATTTAACAGTCTTTTTAATAAGTTTTTGGTTTGTTCAGCCTTTTCATTGCCAGAGAATTTTAATATTTCCATGCCAACTTTGCTAGTAAGCGAGGGGAAAACCCACAGTTTTGTTAACAGTGATTGCTAACTGCTGGAGTGTAAGGTAGCATTTTCTGTCCTTTTGTGGCAGAGTAAGACTTTGAAAGTTTAAATGTTCTTTGCTGAGATTAGTAACTGTCTAACATGTTCGGATTCTGTACCCTAACTGATTATAGTAACATTTTGGGGAGGGGGGGGTGTAAAGTCACATTTTTCTAGATGGTGTTACAACCAGACCTCATTATTATGTCTCCCATGCTTCATTTTTCAGGTAAAATGAACAGAACATTAGAGGAATCTGCGAGGGAGTATCAGGCCAAACATGAAAATAAAACAGAGCTGAAGGAAGTGGAAAGGATAACAGGAGAAGAAGAAGAATCAAATGTTTTACAGGTCAGTTTGCACTGTCAGAACTGCTGGCGAGCGTGATATTGGTCTTTGCTGTTCTCTTGTAAAGCTGTTTCTGTTTTCATCTTGTCCTGAAGGACCACAGATTCACGTTCTGAAAGCTTTGTTGCATTAAAGTTTTAAATGACACTCTCTCTCTCTCTCTGTCTCTCTCTCTCTCTCTCTCTCTCTCTCTCTCTCTCTCTCTCTCTCTCTCTCAATTCTAGTTTTTTAAATAAATGTTTAATACTTTTTCTGTTTTCAGGCAAATGCTAAGCTGTTTCTGTTTAATGCCATGACACAGACCTGGGTTGAGAGAGGCCGTGGTGTGATCAGGTTAAATGACATGTCTTCTGACGATGCAAGAACATTTCAGTCTCGGTTAGGTGAGAGAATGTCTTTACTTTGAGCGAATTTTTGCCACAATATGGGTTTAATAATTTGGTTCTTTCAGTCGTGGACAAATCAAAGCTGACATTGACAAGACTTTGTTTATTTCAGAATGGAAAATTCCTTTTCCATGTGAAAGAAGAACAGTTGTAAAAAATATACTGATGGAGAATTCTCCACTAAAACTGGATTCCTGTATGTGTTTTATTGTTTACAGAATTCAGGAAGCTCTCCAACTGTTTGCTAAACACCAGCCAGAGGCAAAAATAAATGTTCATCAGCATAGGGGTCTGTAATTACTGGCAGTTAGAATTTGAAGCATTATATTTCCTAACAGTTTGAACCAATAGGGATGGGTTAAGGAGTATCTTTTGATATTATCTCGGGTCAGGGCTACAGGGACTAATGTTAGAGTTGTTTAAGTATAGATACTGGGACTAATGTTACAGTTGTTTAAGTATAGATACTGGGACTAATGTTACAGTTGTTTAAGTATAGATACTGGGACTAATGTTAGAGTTGTTTAAGTATAGATACTGGGACTAATGTTAGAGTTGTTTAAGTATAGATACTGGGACTAATGTTACAGTTGTTTAAGTATAGATACTGGGACTAATGTTACAGTTGTTTAAGTATAGATACTGGGACTAATGTTAGAGTTGTTTAAGTATAGATACTGGGACTAATGTTACAGTTGTTTAAGTATAGATACTGGGACTAATGTTACAGTTGTTTAAGTATAGATACTGGGACTAATGTTACAGTTGTTTAAGTATAGATACTGGGACTAATGTTACAGTTGTTTAAGTATAGATACTGGGACTAATGTTAGAGTTGTTTAAGTATAGAGGATTTGGGGAAATGGCAAGAGTGAGGGTTCCAGTGTTGGTAAAAGCAAGTCTTATTTCTTCATACATCGTGACAATCGCATCCCCTGTTCCTTGTTTCTGTAAGACAACCTCACAGTAGTCACAGTGCCCCCCCCCCCCCCCCCCAGATATTTATGCTCGGTCAAGCAGTTCAAAATGGGGGGGGGGGGGGGGGGGGGGGGCTATACTTAATTTTTATCGTAGGATCTTCATTTGTACATGTTATATTTGACTTTTTTATTCTTTACCAGTCATGAGGACTCAAGGTAGTCTCCGTGTGGTGCTCAATACAAAGATATGGCCAGGGATGACAGTGGAGAGGGCCTCTGGGAAGTCAGTCCGTGTAACTGCCATGGACACTGACGAAAACATCAAGGTCTTCCTTATTATGGTAAGTATCAATGGGTGGTTGGTGGATGTGCTGATGTGGTTTGCTCCTTGGTGTCCATCAAAATATCTAGTTTTCATCTCTCTCCTTTTATTTTTTAGTAGTTATCCTTTTGTAACACTCTAATCTTCTGCAGATATTCTACCTACTTGTACTAAAACTCCAAAACTAAGATGGGTAACATGATATTCATGGTTTTCTTTGTTGCTTTGTAGAAATTAATCGGAGTTGTTCTCCTTAATATTGTTATTGTGAAGATGGGGGAATTCATATGGTTTTTCTATCCGTTCTTGGAAGGTTCCATGTGGGTGACACTTCTGTCCCATTTGTAAGATCATTTTTGTGTGTAGGCCTCCTGGTGTGTAGTGTGCGCGGCGTCACTTTTGGCCTGATTCTGTTACTTTTAGTTAAAGTGACTCAGCAGCCCTCCGAAGCTCCCCAGCTCAGGTCACGTAGTTAATGAGCCCTGAAGCGACTTTACCGGTGTCAGTTAAGAAGTTCACATTTTTGTCTATCGAGTATGAAACGATATAACTTGTTCCCCATCCCACACAGCAATCCATTACACTGTTGTATTAAAAGTTCAATGTCTTGAGATTTATTCTGCATTAGAATGGTTAATTTCTGTGGTTTAGTTTTTATTCTAGATAAGTGTTTGTAGAGTACCCAATTTGTCCAATTTTAGTTACATACTTATGAATAAGTGATTGTTTATTTCAAAACGGCACGACAGATCAGATCTCTCCGAAATCTTTTTTTAAACTGACTACGTATATCATGTCTTGCCGTGAGAAATCTTAAATCTTTGCGGGTAGTAATAGTCAAGTTATAAGAAAACAAAGGTGCACATTGCATTTTTGATGAAATACACACAGCGTTGGCTCTTGCTTTACCATTAGATACACAAGAGAAAGGTACTCTGCGTTTGTTATGAATCATGCTGTGTCTGTAGCAGCTTGCATACAGCCCAAAGAAAGATATGCGATTTAAAAAAAAAAAAAAAACTGTGTTAATACATGGGTAGAGATGAACTTCTTGTATGTAGTCTTCACGAAAGGTTAAGGACCACTTGCAAAAGTGCACAAAAAATAAAAACCTGCAAATCAGATTATTTAGTCTTTAACATACATTTAATTCATCAATCCATTAGTGCAAAAAAGAAATCTCAGCACAATCGAGACTGAAATGCTTGATTCCCGGCGCTCAAAAGGGACCCATCCTCAAAATTGAAAATCACGAAAGAAAGACGTGGGGAATGTTGTTCCATTTTTGTGTGGTCTTTATATTAGTTGCTTCAAATTTATTTGGATTTTTATGGCTTATGTTGAAAAATTCTTTTTATTAGCTCTTTGCAATTGACTATATTCCATTCATGCAGTTTCCCTAAATACTTTAAAAAACTGAATTCTATTAGCACTTATTGTGACAGAGTGAATGAGTGAATTTTTAACTTTCAAGAGGGGACTTATTTGTCTTTGTATGTTCTTTTACTCCATTCAGACCAACACAAAAGACTCAGAAAATTTGCTGCGTGCTATTGACTGGAGAATCCAACAACTGAAGATCTGTGAAGAAACATCTCGTCCAAATCTTGACAACAGAGGTGCGGGCAAGCGGAAAGCAGACTCAGACTTTGAGTTTCCCAACAAGAGCAAGTAAGGCCTGCACCCCTCCATGTATTTTGTACCCTTATGACATGCTGTGTGCTATTTTTTCTCTTTTCTCTATATAGCTCTTTTCCAGAAATGTTTGTTTTTAGAATACAAACCTTACAGCCCAATAAATCTCGTTTCTTTTGGTTAACGTGACATCAGGTTTTGGAATGTACTGTTTGATTTGTTTTGTAAACATCTGCCAGAATAAATATTCACATTCTTAATTGAGTCTGTGTTTCTTAATTACTTATCAGTGCATTTTGTAGAGTTAGGGGTTGTTAAATTTCAATGTTCAACGTGAAAAGTTGTTAAATAGTTCTCCATTTTGAGGATGGGTTATTTAATTGTCACAGTTTACATGTGATTAGCATTGCTCAGATTTATTTTTTTTCGCCATCAGATGCGTGGATGTTATTCAGTAGTCAAGGTTTAATTTTATGTATCTGGTAAAAGTTAAAACTGAATGTACTGAAAAGAAAGAATTTTTTTTTCCAAGCTAATTCCGTCCTATAGTAGCTTGGTGTTCATTCATATTTTTAAGTCCCTTTTGTATTTAGGGTAATTTTTTAAATGAACTTTTAAAGTTTTTTAAAGTGGAATAGAAGCAGAGCAAAAGTAATTCTGGAATGTTGTCTGAATGAATTTTATGTAACACCTGTGTACCATGTAGTGGTTGATGATGAAATTTTCTTTGCTTTCCTCTCCCTGCTCTCAGAAAAATGAGCAGTCCTACTGATTCGACTGTTTTAGCCATGAAGAAAGAAGAGTCTGACAGCAGTGTTCAAGATCCTGAAACTGAGGGTAAGAGAATTTTCTTTTGGTACTTGGTACATTTACAATTTTGGCTTCTTTTTCGGTGCACGGTTTCGGCACTCCTGTACAATTGCGGTCCCGTTTGTTTACATGACGGTCATTGTGGGAGTGAATCTAGATTTCTAGATCTAGATTCTAGATCTAGATATAGATCTAGGCCTAGATCTAGAATCTAGATCTAGATCATCTAGATCTCTAGATTTTAGATTCTAGATAGATAACATAGTCTATCTCTAGATCTAGATATAGATCTATATCTAAATCAAGATCTAGATTCTAGATCTAATGCTTTACCAATGAAGGAATAGTATTAAACACGATAATAATTTTGTTTTATCGTGACCTTTTTGAAAAGATATTGTGAAGCAAGCTGACAAAATGATTTACTTTTCGGATTCAAGACCTATGGAAATCGATACATCATGCTTACTGGGGAAGTTTTGACAATTTATAAGTATGAAATAATAAAAGGAATGTAATACTCAAAGAATGTGGCATCAATTTTTAAAATCTACATATTTGACCCTTGTGTTGATTTTCGGCAAATATCTCTGTTTGTGGATTGCATGAAGTAACTCATTTTGTCAGCACGCCTCGTATCATAAGCGTGTGTCAAGAAAAGTCGTGAAACTTAATAAAAAAGCACTGTTCTGTTGATCCTCCCCTGAGATACAGGTATTTGTTGGTGGCGACATGATAAATATTTTTTCTTTCTCTTTCCCAGCTTCCTGCGAAAGCCACTCATCATCCCTGACAATCAAATCGGAGTCCGACTAAATTGCTTACAGTATTCACCACATGGCTCATAGTCTAGCGGCCGAGTCTCCGGTGCGTTGTGTGGGGAGGCACTGACATCTCAGCCGTGACCGGCCTGAAGATGGGAGAAACATGCTTGTGGCATTACTGCGCTCTGAATGCCTTGAGAACTTGAGGAGGAGGATATTGCAAGTCACAGTGAATGGTTCTGCAAGCCTGGGTTAGTTCTGTGGCAGATTGTCTCAGCTGTCAAGTCAAATAAAGCATCCCCTTGAGAGTTTCAGTTGAGTGGTAGGTCATTTCTGTTTTACCAAAATGATGATATATGGTACTTTTTCAAACCTGTTTTTGTTTGTTTTTGTTTATTTTTTGGCCACGCACCGTCAAACAGATGAATTAAAAAGCATGCGAAAAACAAATAGCTTTGCTTTGTGCTCTCAAATTTTCAAAATTACTGGCCTCTATTTAAAGGGGTACGTATTTTGCTGAATAGTGTACCGGACTGTTAATACCATTTGTTTATAATGTACTTAGTCTTACAGAATGCTTGGTCAGGGAACTCAGTCTTGTCAGTGTTACTCTATCTCTAACAAATTGTCAAAGAATTGATTTGTGCTCTTGTAGATGGCTGTCTGTTTTAAATTCTTCCTGATCAAAGTGAAAAAGGTTAAGTCTAAATGAAATATTTGCATGTTTTTTTTAGCCAGGGATTGCTATAAAAATATTATCATTATTTGAACATTGAGTTGAAACTGCTTGGGAGTGTATGATGTGTTTTGCAGAGTGAAAAAATGACATCTAAACTTGTTCTCTTAAAAAACTCCATCATATCTAATGCAGTGTGTGTATATATATATATATATATATATATATATATATATATATATATATATATATATATATGTGTGTGTGACTGCCCTTCTTATCTTAGGATCACCTATATAACGTAGCTGAACATCTTTGGAGTTGTAGTACAATAAGTCAGTGTAAGTAAAAGTCTACTTTGGGGATGAAGCGTTTTTGGATTTTCATAGGTACTTTTCTGTTTAGATTAATCAGTCCCTTTAGGAATAAAAAGACCCTCCAGAACTCCTACTATGGAGTCATTTTGACCCGAAGATATTAAATCAAGTTGCACATGTCATGTTGGCTTCTGCTCGAAGATGCTCACTGGACACCAACAGTTGAGTGAATTAATCATCCTGTTTCTTGGAATGTCTAGGTATTAATATGACAGAATCCATTTTCCTTAGAGTGGAAATACAAATCAATCCATCAGCTGAGAAATTTGGCTTAATGAGGATAAGTGTATGTTGCCTTACTTTAAAAAATTAAAAATGATAATTGACACTTTCTGTCTGTGGTATTATTTTGTTATAGGCCTACTTGGTCAACTTTTCCAGTGTTGTCCAGTGTACTTACATTGCTATTATACTGTAGATGGCATGTGAGTGATCGTTTACAAAAAGCACTTGAATTTGGAATGCTTTACTTAGAAATGCACATACAAGAGTGTTGTGATGATTTGAAGACATGTCTGGAGCAGCTTCCAGCTTTTCAGTCTCAGCTCTGTGGAAGTTAATGAATGAAGCCCTTGCATCGACTTTGCCACCCTTTGTCAAGTTCATAAGTTTCCCAAGCAGAAAGTCACATCATCAGACTTTGCAAGGCATCGTGCGATAGTTCTTGCGCTATTGGAGCAGTTTTTCTTCTAAATGATCTAAATTGTGTTGATGGGGGTGTAAAGCATTAATATACTCAGTCTTTTTGTTTTTGTAAAGTGTTTTACGGCGCTCGCAACTGCATAAGGTCATATGAGCGCGCGGGACACTCCTAATACTTTCAGTTGGTAGGAAATTTTGAATTTTGCCCAGGTGGCGGCCGAAGCCTACTCTTATCGATTTTAGACCACCAAGGGATCTTTAACGTGCGCAATTTGCACACGGGATACTCAGTCTGACACGGCTGCCATTTCTTGCAGTTCAAAACTAATGCTCTAGAATCAATTTGTTTTCTCTGGGAAGAGCAGCTTATGGGACCACCTGTCCAGGATAAGTCGATGGAGAATACAAATTAGATGGGTTGCTGAAGCCCTCTCATGTGTTAGTGATCTTGATATGTACTGATTCATGATGGATCTTTACTTCTATAAGTGTGTGCCAGTGTCTTTGTACATGATTCTGAAATGAATTGACTCACGACGGATCTTTACGTCAAGTATGTGCTGTTTTATCTGCGTCTGTCGCGTGCTGAAAGTGTAACAAGGCTCGGCATTGCAGATTATTCTAATTGTGTTCATTGATTGTTGTGTTGGGGAACTTACTGTTCCCACCGTCATGTTGTCTTGGTGGGTTAAAAAGAGTTCCCTCTCCTTGTGTTGTTTGATGATGTATCATGAAACGTCTTTGTCTTTTGTCTCTGTGTGAGCCTACGTGAGTGTCTACTTGGCTTGGTCTTTGAGAATGTTGGAGTGTGACAATTTAGGTGAGCATTTGAGTGCTTGATGTATGGATGAAGTAGTCTGAAGATGGTAGTGAAATATTATAAGTTATGAGTTTTGTTTTTGGAATGCTTTATGTTGTGTTTTGTTGTTGTTTTTTTTATTTTTCCGATTTTGTTCACTTGCAAATAGAGATAGAAAGAAGGAGACTCTGAAGCCCATAATGATACCACAACTTAAAATAAGCTTTATGAAAGAAAGGCAAAATTATTATTGCAATTGTAGAGAAACTTCATTTCCAAACTGAAACCTAGTGAAGGATTAATGATGTGTGTTTAAGCTTTTTTATTTCACAATGAAAACTTTGCCTCTTTTCACCATAAAAGAAGTTGCTTGATGGGCAGCGATCAGTGCAGAGACCACCATGACCTTTTCAGACGGACTGATCATTTATCTGTGAGTAGTAGTAGTAGTAGTAGCATTATAACAATGTTTAATCTGCAGTAAGTGATGAGTCATTATGATGTGTGTCATGTCACCCACTCTTTTGTTGAATAGTCAGTTTTGTGTTTGGAGAGTACAAGCATTAATAGCAATTCAAGATACAACCTGGCCCAGTAGTAGAAAGATGTCCTTTAAGTGGAATTAGTTCTTGTGCATTTTTGTGTAGGCTTCCTTTAAGTACACTGTAAAGTAGGTACTGTGAAAAGTGATTGCCATGTGCCCTGTGAGAATAGGCTCATCAGTCTCAGTGTTTCAGTTTGTACATCAGGATAACAAAAACAATTGAATTATAGGAAAAGTGTTTGGCTGCTTCTTCATTTCTGTGTGTTCTGGCAACTGAGAGACTAAATCCTCTTTCGGCAGTATCTCCTGTAGGACAGCGCATCCGTCGGTCTCTTTTTCCCCTCAATGCCCTGAAAGTCGTGAATGGTGCCTGTTTTTTCCATTATAAACGTTATGCCACGTCCTCTTTCTCCAACAACTCAGGTGTATACAGCTGTGTGTTCATCATTCTTTTGTGCTCACCACTGCTACTTTCAGCTAATCTGCATGGATTTTTAAAAATTGAAGCTAATTGATGTACTACAATATACAGTTGACCCTGCCTTAACGGAAGCCTGTCCAAGACGGAAACCTTCCATAACGGAAATCTCCCCCTCCCCGATAAATTCTTCTATAATTGCCTCCTTGGAATGGAGACCTCCTGAACCTAGAAAAGGAAAGAGCAATTCCTTCCCTTCAGGGAGTTCAGACCTGTCCGAATCCGAGACAAATGCTTTGCCTGCTCTGCCCTGATTGGAAACAAGCCTCCTAAGGTTAGTTTCATTTGCTCTAACCATTGCGAGACGAGTAAGGGGAGAAGGGGTGCGGTTTGGCGGGTAGCTGTTACTGTCTCCCAGTCCATGTGGGCCCTGAGCAGTGGGGATGTTCCAAATGGTGTAGGTGTGAAAGCTCACCTGTGCTTGTGAAAGTGTTTGAGTGGAGCCCCCTGCATGGAAACTTTCCTGGGTAGCCTGAGGAATGAAATTAATTTGACCGATGTCTGCTGCCCTGATCTTATGGCCAGCAGAGAAAATAATTCTTTGAATTTTTGCATATAATATATGCACGGGAGGGATGGCATTGCTTATTACACTGATGGGTGGAGCTAAAGGTGGCAACAAAGTAGAGGTTCTGTCGATCCAAGCACTGGTTCAGTGTAATTGATGCTTGCCATTATCAGAATATCAGAGAAGCGTAGACAGCATGTGCGGAATGTGAAGTTTTGACCGCTGCTTGCGGACCGGATAGACAACCCTTGATCTCACTACAAATGGGCTGGCTCTCTGGAACCCCCCTTTCTTTAAATTCCCCTATCTTAGACGACATTTTTTCATGGCTCCCTTGCAATTCCATCTTGGATAGGTAAGACTGTACTGAAGTTCGCTTTTTCATGCCTTTTTCTGTTTTATACTTATGTATGACGATTAAATGGTTGTCTTCGCCTGTCTTGGTTTGTAGTTCGATCTTTATGTTACACTGGCTAATTTTAACCTTTGTTTCACGCTAAGCTTTGTTTCTCCTTACCTTTCTTAATTTTCAATGATAAAGTTAGAGAAAGTTTCAGATTGTCCAAGAAGGGCTTCTAAAGAAATCACAGGTGCACGGAACCAGTTTGTGAACTGATGTTCCGGTGAGTCAAGGTCCACTGAGCAAGGACTCCTTACCAAAGTTGTCCTTTCAGCTCTTTGGTAATTGAATAAATCAATCCCAAAGAACCTATGTGGCTTGATCTTTGCTTTGACAGCGACAGTTTTTGCTGTGAGTCTTTAGAGCCCTTGATGTGTAGGGGTTTTTTTACCAGATGACCATCAGCCCTCACTGTTTATCTTATTTTAAGATAAATTCCATTGGCCTCAGACCTGTCAGTTCTACTGTCATCAGATTGGCCCAAAGATTGGTGGGGAATGGGTAAAAAAACAACAACTCTGTACTCGTAAAGGGCCCTTCTTGTTAGATCCCGTTCTGTTGTTTCTGTCATTGTTCTTGCTTTGTCCCAGCACTAATTGTCATTTTCTAGATCTTTTTCTCTTTACCATACTCAAACAGTCAAACATTGTGGTAGAAGCAGTCAGACCTTGGCTGTTCTGTAAGCTCTCCTCTGCCTTTTCTCCTCTAGACACGTTTTTTTCTTGAACACTTAAACTGACCGGCTTTAGTTAAAATGTAGCCTACCATGCCCAATATTTTTAAAATGTTTCAATTGCAATTTCTTAATCTGTGGTATTGGTTGCATATATGCTCAAGAAACATTTTGTCGAAAATAATCAAAGTAAAATTGTTTTTAAAAAATGAAACGGAATTTTCTCTCCTGTAAAATGTTGCTATCTGGGTGTAATGCTGTTTGAAAGCTTGCTGTTGATGCAGTTTGTGTCCAGGCTCAGACACGAGGAATTCTCTTGTCTCCCAGGTCCCCAGATCAATGCCAAAGACTTGTAGGCTTTTGTGTAAAATGTATTTTGTTCTGTTTTGAACAAGTTACAAAACAAAAGTCATGACTCACAATGGTTAGCCTAATTAGAACAATTGTTCAATTTTAGAGGTGTTAATCAAAGACATTGTTGTTGAAAACTTGTTTATGTTGAACACACAGGCCTAGATTGCTTCCCTTTGTGAGATTTGACCTAGCTTCATTTTGGCTTATTTCTTTTTGTAAATTGACATGCTGATTCTGAATTTTGGCATTTCGTTTTAATTAATTTAATTAAATATATATATAGCAAATGAAAATTTACAGTGGCTCGAGTTTTCAATTAAGTAGGCCTACATGTTCCTTCACTTGTATTTTTAGTTGAGATGAGGTAAAGCGCCTAGAGCTGTATTGTACGGGAGCAGGCACTATAGAAATTATCTGTATTAGTAATTTGTGGCAGGGGTGAGAAAAAAGATTCTTAGGTGTACTAGTACTTGTACATGTACCGAGGTACCAGTACTATGGAAAGGTAAGCGAGGGCAGGCATAGGTTTTTAATTTAAAGTCCTGAAACACTGATGATGTAGGAAAAAAATGACTGAGGAAATGTGTTTGCATTACAAAAAATGCTTAGTTTTAGAAAAGTGAAAGAGCTAACAATTTCAGTGGTGCTTCAAGGGCCGGGGAAAGTGGTTGGCGGGCTATGTTTGGCTTGGGTTTGAGCACCTTTCCTGACCCTGTTAGTCAGGGACTATGTTGAATTTCATAATTCCTACGAATCTAATGCTTATTTCATCATGTTGAAGCTTGATTTTTTAAAGTGTTTTTAAGTTGTTGGTGGGGAAAAATGTAATTGAAAATGTTGACATCATTGTGTTCAAGCTTACCTGTTAATTGAATTTGTCATTTTGAATTGCTCCAAAAAAATGTTTTCGGAAACTCTGAATATCTGTGGCATTTACTGTTGTCTGCTAGTTATTATAAAGAATATTGTGTGTCGGGCCTTTAGGGAAGAGAGAGACCATTGATTGTACTGTAGGTGAAGTGTCTTGTAGTAACTTGAGCATACACTCATGTTTTGTGGTGGAGTCCTTGTGCTGTCCTTATGGGAACTTATCTATGTTATTGGAGATGCCTTCAACTTCAATCCAAACACTGAAATAATAATGTGTAATGTAAAGAAAGCTTTACTCTCTCCTGCGTTACTGCCTCATTTTGTACTCAAGAGCTGTATTTATGATGTAGCCATGGGTTAGGGAGGAGCATTAGTAATAATTTAGCAGCTGCAGTTTAAAAAAGCGGACTGCTTCAAACTGAAGATTGGTGAGCCTCAGCGTGGGCATTTGATACATTGTGGATGTGTGGTGGGTGCTACAGCATGTTTTCCTTTCTTTTTTTCTTGTCAGCATTACTATTATCCTAATAATGTCAAAGTTTTGTTTTGACTCATAGTAAGCACTACACACTCTGTGCTACCATACAATGAATGTCTCTGAGCTACAGACTTTAACATAAGTTAAGGACCACCTTGACATACAGCCCTGATTTATTTTTTTTAATCCGAAAAAAAAGACAGCAAGGAATGTTTCAAAATTTTTTGCTTTGAAAGTGTAAATGGGTTACCAATGCGTACTCCAGTTTCCTAAATGGGAAAAAGCAATACGTGCAGCACGGAAATTCTCGTGGAATTTTAGCCAAATTTGCTGTTTTTTAGGGACTTGTGTGCGATACCACAGACCTTTTTTAGCTAAAATTTCTGATGCACGTCATAAATGGACGTAGTCTCAAACTGTTCTCATTTTGGTGGCAATATAAGCAGCCGTTTGCACAAAATCCAGTATCGCATCAACATGCCACCGAGACATGGCTGAGAGACTTTGATAGTGCCACAGCTATGGCATGGTTGCAGAATGGAGTTGGAGCCCGAGAAGTTGCCAGAAGGCTTGCAGTGTCACACTCTGTCATTGTCAGCCTGAGGCAACGCCACCAAGCCACTTGATCAGTCTAAGAAGACCTCGTGCAGGTCGACCCAAGAAGACCACTCAGGGTGTTTGCAAGTGGTCCTTAACTTATGTTGAAGTCTGCATTACACTAACAGGTTGAAGAAGGTGACTGTTAAATGGATGGCTGTAAATTGAATAGAATACGATTCTACATTGATAGATCATTGTCACACCTTGTACTGGGCTTTTGAGATTTTATTTTTTAATGAAGGGATTCCGTCTTGCTCTTCTGCGAAACTGCTCTGAAACTATGTAGCAGTAGCTGAACTGAGATGTCGGTGACCATGAGTTCAGAATAGCTGTGTAAGTTGTAAGTCAAGAAAGTGCAGGAAATAGAGTAGTGAAACAGTGTAGGTCTACTGTCTAGATCAGGGGTCTCAAACTCAAATAACACGAGGGCCGCTGGAGGTAGAGTAAGCCTAGGCTGCATCAAATATCCCTCCTTGGGGGGTGGGGGGCTGTAGTTAGTTGTGGTACTGGTACGGTATTTAAAAATTTTTGAAGAACACCAATCGAATCTTCTCATTCTATATAAATAGCTGTTTAAAACATGAACGGTTCTTCACCACCAGAAATTGTCGTCATGAGCCTGAACTATGGAAGCCCTTGGCTCATGAGTGATTTGAAAAATCCAGGGCAACACCTCAGCAAAAAGGTGAATATATATGACAAAAACATGCAAGCAACACTTACACTCAACGTTGATGTCATTAAGTTGAAGTAGGGGCCACAAGATATGGTCATGAGGCCCGCAAGTTTGAGACCCCTGGTCAAGATGAATGCAGTAAGAGGTCAAGGAGAATGTCATTTTTAATAAAATGTATGCTGCTCGTGGACTTTGATCATATTGTTAAGTTATTATGACTTAATTTTATTATTATATGTGTATACTTCATCCAAATCTATGATTTCATTGAACTGCTTGTTTATTGTTTGTTGATATAACACTTTTGTTACATAGTTTCCTTCTCAGCTCGTCATGTCACTGTACCTTTTTAATTTGTCTTGATTTTGTTCCTGTTGCTGATTATTATCATCATTGATGAAAAATATGTACAGTCCTTTCATCACTAAATCTTTCATCGTTCATGCAAGTGTTTGGGTTATTCAATTGTGATTTATGTGTTCTCAGTCTTTTGTCTTTTACATTTTAAGATCGGCGTCTGTAGCATAATGGTTGGGCTCTTCGTTCTTACATTCTGAGAATGTTGAGTTCAGTTCCCACAATACAGTATGAATATCAAGTTAATTTTCTAGTATCTCCAACTGTTTGCAAAGGTGTGTTGCATCCCACTCAACCCGTGTTGGCTCAGATAGGCAGGGTGGAAGCAGAAAGCCTCCTATATGAGACTGAGCTGAGTATCAACATAGTGGTACAATCCCTTTGAAACATAGAAATGTGCAAACCTGGCAACGCAGTATAATCCGCTTATATCGTCATGCTTTGGGAAGTAGATTTGGTGTCGATATATAAAAATGTTGATAAATGAAAATATAAAGCCAAAAAGGAAAAAGCAAGGGGGGGTCAGCGGTAAAAGACAACTTTACTTTTTTAAGCTGGTTGCTTCTCTTGATTCTTGAAGCTAACAAGAGGCAGAGGGGAGGGGGAGTTGGAGTTGTGGTACCAAAGACAGAGAGGCTCAAGGTGCAAACTACACACCAGAGCAAACTTTGTTGGGGTGCCTACTACGTATGGAATCGGCGGATCAGGCCGATCGCCCAACTCAGTCGCCGATCACCTGAAACCGAAAACAAGCATGTTTGTTTTTTAGGCGACAGAGTCGGGCGATTGGCCCCATCCCATCCGTAGTGGGCACCCTGATTAATAGGGCCTGTTTATGGCCGCTTACTGGGGAAAATGGAAAGGCGAGGCACTGACTCATCTACAGTGGCACTTGCCAACGACAGACTGAGAATGGGATGGGGGTAGGGAGGTGATACCCAGCACACGAGACGCTCACGTCTGTGAGGCACTGTACTGTGTTGGGGACAACACTGTGTAGGCCCTACATGACCTACTAAAGCCTGATGTGTTGAATAGGCTGCTTGGCAGGTATGTGGACTGAATGAAAAACTGATGCGTTAACCGTAAGCATGGCTTTTCCCCCCATTTATGTTCGTGGGCTTCGCCAGGTACCCAGGAAGAATGTCGATAACGCAGAGTGGGCCGAAAAAAAAGTCGATACAAGAGAAATTGTTTTGTGAAGATATTGAAGGAAAAATATCGTAATAGAAAAAATATGTCGATATGTCAAAATGTCGATAAATCGGATGTCAATATAAGTGGATTATACTGTATTTATTTGAAAAAAAACTTTCACTCTTGGATTTCGAGTGAGGTCAGGTTAGGATATTCTGCTGATCTAAAAATCAAATCACCAGAATCGGTAAGGCCTTCAAGACCAAACATGTAATTATGAACCAAAAAGAGATCCAGGTACTTTACATGAGAGTCAAGGCGATACCTTTTCTTAGCCAAGACCAGTCTCTTCAACCCCCCCCCCCCCCCCCCAGCCCCCAATTTGCAAAGATCAAGTGACATGACTTGCCATCACTGTTGAGGTCCTGCCTCTCCCACACAGCTCAACACACACTATACTCCAGCTCACAGTAGAGCATAATATTATTGTTCCAGAGCAGGCCAAAGTCATGCATCCATTAGTATGTAGAGTTTAGTAGAAGAGGGGTGGGGGCTCTCGTGGCCTAGAGGTTAAGGTGTTGGCCTCCCATTCAAAGGTCCCGGGTTCGAATCCGGGTAGCGACCAAAAAATTTTCTTCTCTAAAATTGTCTCCTTTCACCTCCTTTCCTGCTCTCTAGCAATGTTGTGTTGTCTGATTTCATTTCCACTTTCTGCCCCCCCACCCCTTCACCTCCTTTGCCCCCTCCTCTGGGCTCCTGACTCTTTCTGCAGCCTTTCTACTGCTACTCCTTGGCTCATCCTTACTGCTGTCTTTCTGCCACACCCCTGATCTTCTGGAAGGAAAGATCTATACCTAGCCTTCTCAGACAAGGGCGAAAAATCTCGGAGGGCCCGTGTGCAAGTTGCGCACGTTAAAGATCCCTTGGTGGTCTAAAATCGATAACAGTAGGCTTCGGCCGCCACCCGGGCAAAATTCAAAATTTCCTACCAACTGAAAATATTAGGTGTGTCCCTCATATGACCTAATGCAGGTGCGAGCGCCGTAAAACACTTACCAAAATAAAATTTTAAAAAATAAGAAGAGGGGTTGAACCCATAGGTCATATAATTACCAATTGAGGGTGCCTGAGTACATTGTGTATAGCACTCTCTGTGACTTGGATTTAGTTGTAAGTACATTGTGTATAGCAATATTCAATTGTAAGTATAAGTCCAGAAATAGATTTAATTTATCATACTGATAAACAGTAGTACATTTATTCAATTGCTTGTCCGAATATTTACATCAGAACAAAAACCTTGTCATAAATTAAAATAGTTGCGGTAGATTGGTCTGGCTTACATATAAATCAATTTCTGCATAATATATGCATCTTAGTCTCAGTACATGCACATCAACATTTTATTTCTCATACTTGTAATTGTAAGTATTTTTTGCATTACAAACAAGAACACGTATGTAAATGTAATTCAGCACAAAAAGGTGTATACCATCAAAACTTGCCGAGTTCTTGGTAGCCTACATTAATTCCCTCACCGCCAGCTTACCTCGTGTTCACACCAAACACTTGGACGAGAGAATCATTCTTCTAACGACAAGGGCCAGTGAATTGTTCACACCAACGCTTGCACTTTGAAATTATGGTACAATATTTCTTCCCGATCGACAAAAACTATTGAATATGGTCGTAAGGACAATTGGGCTAACCCTAGATAGAAAAAAGAACGGAGATGGCCCATTTTAGATTTGACGAGTTCACACTACACTCTGCATGCAGTTTGTTGATGCAAAAAGACAATGTTGTATCCCGTAGATATATATAGGTAATAATAGCAACAATGGTTGATAATAATGCGTTTAAGATTGACAGCTCAAGTCTTCTGAAGAAATGCAATACCCTTGATACAGGTAGTTCATTAGTTATGAACTGGCCATGATGTCAGAATATTTATTCTGATCCTTCAGCATTTCCAGAAAAACTTCATACTTCCTTTTGTGATATCTGAAACAGACAGAAATGAACATGATACATTATAGTTTAATAGGATTTAGAAAATACATGTATTCTGATGTATGCAGCTCCAAAAATTTGTCTTCAACAACAATGTTAAACAAGAAACTAAAAATGCTTGACCTAAATCAACTTTATACACATCTTCACAGCGGAAGAATCCACACACTGTTCTCAAATGTATTAAACTTCAATAACTGGACAAACAGCACTAAAGGACAAAATGTTAATGAAAAGGAAACAGTTTAGTACTGAAGATTTCAAAGAATCAACTCTATCAAGGGAAACAGACCTCTGCAAGAACTTAATATACGAGGAGAAATGTAACAGGAAACTACTATACAAAGTGACTGGAACAATCAAAACCAAATCTAAAACTCATTGGAACTTCACATCCAGAAAGAACAAAGCTGTTCATACTTTGGTCAAAAGTCTTATTTACAGCATAGTAAATAAAAGTCAAATAATTCATTCATATGTAAGATCCATAAATTTCCATGTTATTTTCACAGACCATATATATATATATTCAGAACGATGTATTTCTTCTTTTGTAACTAAAAAAAAGGCACTGTTAACTTGCCCAGAGACTGAAGTATCAGGATCAATCACTTCTCCACAGCCTCCCATTGCTGCCATGACTGCCTGCAGGGTACAACAAGAAGAAAGAAAGGCATCAACTGATCAACAATTTTGGAAAGATTCATTTTTATTTGGACTCCACAAACTTTCACCCACTATACATGTTATCTTTAGTATTGCAAGTGGCCTGCACTGGCTTAGACAGAAATACAAATTAGAATTTTGATACTGGGTTTGCAAAAATCTCTCCTCCTGTACAGAGAACCATTCCTCCGTGTGGCAGTATCTTCTCTTTATTCACCTGTATGTTGCCCTAAATAATAAAAATAGTGTGGATGAGGGCGTAATAATAATAGCTCGTCCATCAATTCTGACGATGAACAATATATCCACAGAGGAGAATATTTCTCCTGCTCATTAGAATAGTTAGAAAAATTAAAGGATAAGGTGACTTGTGGCTTCTGCTGTGGCCGATGAGACCAACCGTGGCAAAAAAAAAGTTTGCCACATTTTGAAAATTTAAAAGCTACACCCACTTCCACTTATGGATGTGCGCAGCCTGCAGGCTTCTCTCTTGGATACAACATTTCTTACTTGTGAAGCCTCGTGCGCTTTACTGCTCACTGTGACTGCTGCTCACCAGCTGGGTCTGGGATGAGGGCGTAAAACATCTACAAACAACCAAACAATGACCCACCTGTATATTGGGGAAATCTCCGGAGGCACATGCCCCCAGCATAGCAGCACCGAGTAACACGGATTCCTCGCTGTCTGGAAGGACAACAGGAACACCTGAGGAGGGGAATATTAATAATATTATTACAGTGGAATCCTGTTATAACGAGAGGGAGGGGACCGGTGCCAAATGTCCGTTATAGCAAGATTCTCGTTATAAGGGATCCAGTAACAAATTCAAGGGAAATAGTAAAGTAGGCCTAATGTATGAGTCTAGTTTTTGGTTTATCTCTTTTTGTAATCTCCCCTGATGATGATTTGGTTCAACATGACCTTAAAGACTTACTTGATAAAAAGTTGAATCAGGTTTCTTTCTCTTGCGCTAGCGATGTTGACAGTAATGACAGCTCGGCGTGGGTGATCAAAAAGAAAGTTCTCTATGGTAACTCGCCCGCTGTGTTGTCCCCCACCCCACCACACCCTGTGAAGCATTCCGTATGCTTGCGCACAATGGGAACAAACCACACCCTGTCCACGTCACACATACGCTCTGTCCATCACAGAACAGCACTATGACCTCTTCATCCCCGCATCGGAGAAGTGAGAGGCATGGTAGGCCCAGATAATCTAGACTAGGCTGGCCTATCACACGATGCATTCTGCTTGTCAGTGCATAACACAGTCTCCTCACTCATTCAATCCGGCCTTCATTGTTGGCACACGTGAGCTCTCCCATTCTTTGTTTCGCAAGATAGCCAAGAAGTATCTCAACTGGGGAGGTTTTACATGAATAAATGGCCTATGCTCTGTGCACAGTAGCAGCTATATTCCACTATAACAGACCAGACTCGCGTGTTTGTCTGATTGCGTTATAGCAGTATTTTATTTACAAAGATAAAGAAGGGGAGAAAACGGGGTTCTAGAAAAGTGTCTTTATAACAGACTTCTCGTTATTTCAGGACTCATTATAAGTGGATTCCACTGTATCAAGGTGAGACAGTGCAATAGAGAAACTTGTAATCAAATAGGCTGTGATACTTCAATTCTAAAAGTAAAAGAATTCTTTATAGTAGGTAAATTTATTCAGTGTTTGAGGCTATTGGCCCACATCACATCATATAAAACACTCATTTGTTAAATAAAGTTTCCATTTAATGACAAAGTACTGGAAATTCTTTATACACTATGCAAGTCTTAAACTGTGACACACAAATCAGTCCTAAAGTGACTTGATAAGCTGAATCTTTACTCATCATATAACACGGTATGTTATAAATGGCTCCGCAAGACTGTCACTGTGAGGAGGAGATCGTGTACTTAGATTTAGATCAGAAAGGGTAAAGGCCCTGGCTCAGCTTCAAGGTAGTTGTAACGCGAATAGAGGCTATCTAATATAGTCTCTCGCTTGGAATGCTGGTTACAGCCAGTATCTCCATCAAAGGGTTCATTCTGTTGATAAAACAGTGGTCTCAGTCTATAGTTGAGATGGACTGCAATCCCAACCCGTCCCTTCACTTTAGAAGTTTCAGCATGTCTATTGGTCTCCAACGCTTCTACTCAGAAGATCTTATCTTGCCCTTCCTTTGTGTACTGTTCTCCACTCCGTCTACTCTGAGAAGGGGCATGTGGTTAACTCAGTTGATTTGATATCATGCTGGACTATGGCTGTCCCCGTTGTTTTATGCAAGAAAAATTCTGAAATTATGCAAACTGAGCCCAAAAATGTGAAATTATGCGATTCTGTTAATTTGAACAAAGAATGATAAAGGAAAATAATTAGAAATTATGCAAAAAATGATCAAATTTGGCTAAATTATGCGGGGTGCATAAAACCACGGGGACAGGACTATGGTGAGGACGGCCTAGGTTTAAATTCCAACAGGGCTTTCTTGAACTAGAGTTGTTTTGTGAAGTGTACATGGCTCTGAACAGCTCAGTCTTATCAGAGATGGACACTTGGAGGTCCCTCCACTTACATCACCTAATTGTGTAGAAAGAGGTGTTAAACCCTTACACTTCTAAATTTTGCTTTCTTTTTTTCTTTATTCTGAAAAGAGCATTAATTTTGGGCAATTGTTTCTTCAAATAGAGCAAATTCGACTTAAGGCCCCGCGTCCACTGCGCTTTTTCGTCACTTGCAGGCCAAGCTCACATACAAATGAGCTTGTTTTTGTCAGTCATTGACTGCCTTTGCCTGACTACGCGATTTTCCTGCATGCACGCTTTTTCGTCAGTCGTACAGGGGACTAAAAAAGCCTCGATTCGACTCATTTTTTAAGGAAATTTGCATCTTTAAGTACACTTTTGCTTCTTCATTGCACTTTACATGATCAATAAAGTTGTATCTCATTATAATATGTTGTACAATAGCAGATCTGTGATGAAAAACTGAAAAAAAATTAAATTAAAGCACTTGACCTAGATCTAGATTAGATTATTTCGTTCTCGGGAGAGCTAAAAATGGGCCATGTTAGACCTAGCCAAGGACGTGTCTAGATCTAGATTCTACGTTCTCTGTTTAGTGCTTCCAATTTTCCGCCAATTTTTAGTTTTCTCCAGACCTTATCTGCCAGTCCACTAGATCTAGGCCTAGATTCAAGATCTACATCTCGATTTATTATGTCGCTTTGCCTTTCCTGAAACAGTGCTGTAAATATGAAGCTTAATCTACACCTCTCTGATGAAAGTTCTGATGGCCGAGTGAACAGTGTGTCTGCGTTTGAACGCAAACGTTATTTTGTGAGCGTGGGTTCGAATCCCAGTCCCAGCTTTTTTTTTTTTTTTCTTTTTCTCTTCTCATCCTCCCAACTTACCAACAATTATTCCCATCATTATAATTTGTTGCTTTTTAGTTTTTTAAAGAGGTAAATAAATAAATAGCCTATGCTGTCTGTTGTTCTCATAATCATAACACACTGGGCTACAAATAGGTTTAGCTGGTCTGACGTCGGTGGACGCGGATCTTTTTGAGTCGGTTCTACACCATGCAAAAACTTTGTGCATTAGCCTCGCCTGGAGGTGATCTTATTTTGGTGGACGCGCAGCCTAAACAACAGAAAAATCCACTCTGACACTTGGTCCACCACAGTGATTCTCTCACCTAAGATATCCGTATGAGTTTGCACATACAGCTTGTTCTTCCTCAGTCCTCCACACATGTACACCACGGACACTGTGTGGCCACTCCTCTCCATCTCTGAGATGATATGACGAGTACCGTACTGAAAAGAATTTGTGGGGGTTTTAGCATTACAGTAGTTTATCAGACGACTAGACTCACACAGAGTATTTACCATATTTCAAATTTTCAGTCAAACTACAAGAAGCAAATACAATTTTTATTAACTCTTCTCAGATGTATCACCAATATATCAGTAAATTCCGAGGAACACATCAGGATGTATCGCGGACACATCCGCAATTTGAATGAGGTGTCCAAAGTGTGTTCCATTATTTCCATTCTATTGCTTTTGCAATATCAGAGAACATCAACATACAATTGCCTTTTCAATTATATAAGACTGCCACTACATTGTTTACCACACCATCTATAAAGCCGTTTTATTTTCATATCCTCAAAATTAAGTGTGGGATTACAAATTAATTAAGTCCAAATGGTTTCAACTGCCCCAAAAAATTACATCCTGAATGAATTAAGACTTTCTGACAGAATTTTTTTAAAGTGTGTCACAACGCTGGTATCATCTTAAAGTTTGTTCAATTGTCTTGCTTTTAATGGAAAAAAATACTCATCTATCTTGAAAAGAAATCAAGATATCACAAGCTCAAGTGTGGTTACTTCCATACCTTGATAGTCCTTGGAAACGGCAAATTTTCATTTTTTTGTGCCTTTATCAACGTTTATCAGAAAATCCACACAGACATGTGCTTGTTCGCGCGCTCATATGACCTTAGCAGTTGCGAGCGCCGTAAAACCTTATACTACTAGACATGTGTTTTTAAACGAAAATAAAAGGTGTTAAACCAAAAGACAAAAATTCAGTAAACACTGCCAAATCTGCGGGAAAATACCATTTTCTTTGATTTAATTATTTTAACGAGCGCCTGATTTCACCACGATGCCTAACAATTACTAACATACATATTATTTTACGTATCTGCGCACTCACTGCCAACGCTTGCACAGTTGCCAGGTACAGCAGAGCCAGATCCTCATCGTTGGCCGACAGACTCAGACCACTCATCTGAAGACAGAAAGATTGGTCACCGTTACTGAAAACCTTCAGTTGGTAACATCACTGCCTCTCAAGATGGCACATCAACACAACCAGCAACATCCGAAACAACAACAACATCATAAAACAATCACACCACCCAGTCCACATCCCTCTTTCAACATTGATAATAAATAACTGCTTGGAGTAAAGTCGTTTATCAAATAAGAAAAATGTTTAGGCCACACCACAGCAAGTCTTAAGTCGAGCATTCAACCCACTGGATGCTACAGAGAACCTTATCAGAACCCCTTAGGTCATTCTTTAAACATACCGTGACATAATATCACTCATTTTTGGGAACATTAAAACCAAGAACAGTAGTAACATTAACAACATTCAGGTGAGCCCATCCTGTTGACTGCTCGACAGGAGCGGAGTAAAAAAAAAAGGGGAGTAAAAATGAAAGTGTTGTACCATGAAACTGAAACACGCATCGTGGTACAAAAAATATTCCATAAACCACAAATGTTCTACAACTACAAAATAAATATACATGTATCCATAAAAACTATTGCAGTCGACTCGGCCTGTGTTAACTCGCTCGAATTGATCTTCGGTTAAGTTGATCTTTTTCTCGGATCCCAGCACCTTTTCTTCTTTACACGTCCCAATGGTTAAGTTGAACTTCGGATGAGTTTATCCTTTTTTACTCCCGCGACGACATCAACTCATCCATAGTCGACTGTACCAGTTTTCTACAAACTAAATAAAAATACGGCTCAGAAAAAAACCCATTGCATCCACACCTCGCCATTTTAACATACCATTCCCCTGAGCTTAGGATCAGCCACAGGTGAGCGATTCCCATGAAAATCCGGCCACATATGGATATCTTGGGTCAGTTGAGCAATGCTAGGACAGCCCCGTTTGACAACCAGTTGAGCAAGCAGGTCATTCAGATAGTCGGACACGTGCATGCCTCTGGTTGAGTAAGAAAAATGAAAGCCTGTTGATCTTAGCTTACTTCTAGTACAAACTATTCTTCTGAAGACATAACGCAAACTTGTTCACTATGTTACTGGACTTAAAGGAAACTGTAACTGAGCCAGGAAAAAATATTTTAGTTTGACACAGTTGAAGTCAATATCCACTCAATAGGTTCATGAATGAAAAAGTCAAAATGCAAGAAGTCAGATTAGCCAAATGAGCATGTGGATATTAAACTGTGCAACAGTGACTACAAAGAAGAAGGAACAAAAAAATAGACAAAGACTATCCATTTTTTAAATTTCAAAACCATTTTTTAAAAACAGACCTCTAAAAATGTAAAAAAATGTATCTAACCTAAACTCAACCTCGCACACAAACAGGGCAAAGAATATTTATTGTCACAAAACTCAGAACGTATGTTTATATTATATAACAAAAAGAGAAGGTTACAATTTTGCTACAAAAATCACAAACTGAATTAAACTGTTTTTGTTAAGAAAGGCACACCTACTTTTGTTCAGCTTTTGATCTGACCGTGTTATAAGCAGGATGGCCTTCAACTACAAAGTCAATCTGAAAAAGCAATTCATATGAGACAGAGCAGTCCACATGTATCAACACTTTATGACCACACCGTCAATTACAGAACAGCCAGAAATATAAACACCATTGTAACAGTGAAACAAAGTACAAAGTATAGACGAACACATGCAAATATAGAGGGAACATGAGCACACGATCTTGGAGCAGATTTGTGCTTGCATCTTATTCTCTAACATTCTATTCAAGTTCTCTCTCTCTGTCAACTTATCTCTCTCACGAATACATTGCCACACACTCAAATCAACGTTTTGCAAGTCTTTTTCCACAGAAATAACAAAAGCAACAACTTGAGCTACTTTTAATATATACATATATTTAAATAAGACAAAATTTGTGTACAAAAAAAAAACCCTGCCCAAAACATGAGAACAACTAGAAACACACAAACAGATGGAACAGCAGAGCCTACTCACAGTGTTATGCCTTTGGACAACAAACTTTTAAAATAGCTTCAATTTCTATGCCAAATTATATGAGAAACAAGACAATTCATAAAAAGGACAACCATTACTATCCACAGTGGATATAATTCTTTGCACTCACCCATAGACACAAGACACTGTCAGTAAAAGTTTCAAAAAGAAGAAACAAGAATCACGAAAGACAAGTTGACTCACAAGCTTGCCGGTGGCACTCTGCCCTCCTTCGTTGACCCACATACCAGGCACCATGGCCGAGAAGTACGGGCCCCAGACTCCTGGCACAGACACACGGCAGGAGCTGCACTGAGATGAGACACAGAGAAGACTGAGATTGAGATGTGGCACAGAGAAGACTGAGATTGTGAGAGGTGACACAGAGAAACTGAGATTGAGATGAGACACAGAGAAGACTGAGATTGAGAGGTGACACAGAGAAGACTGAGATTGAGATGAGACACTGAGAAACTGAGATGAGACACAGAGAAACTGAGATTGAGATGTGACACAGAGAAAACGAGATGAGACACAGAGAAGACTGAGATTGAGATGAGACACAGAGAAACTGAGATTGAGAAGTGACATATATAGAAAACTGAGATTGAGATGTGACACAGAGAAAACTGAGATGAAATTCAAGCTGTTTCATACAAGTAAGGCAGGTAAAAACAAAACTGGGTTTTTTTTCTGTTATTTCATTTCTGCTTTCCTCTGTTAGATTTGAAGGGTTATTGCCTTTAGGATCTTCAGTGCAACTGACGTTTAGGTAAACGACCTTTTTTCCTTTCTAGAATGTAGTGCCATTTGGCTATTAGCCTGCTCAATTTAGTGTAGTGTTTTTAAAGTGCTCCTACTTATTCATACTGACTTCAATTTTACTAGTTTTAGGTAGAAAATACTTCAGGATTTTATCGAGGCATTTGGCCAGCACAGGTGTGCTCTTTGTCAGCTCTCAACTAAACAAATGTGTCTAAGTTGTGAAGTGAGCACATGACAATGAGGCCTGGAGTTTTTCTTTTTTATCTGGGAAGACAAGGCACTCCATTCTACCTAAAGTAAGACATGGCAGATGGAAAAAAACCCTCAAGAAAAGAATTTTTAAAAAGACCTTGAGTTAACGGTTGACCATTGCCTGCACAGGGCAAGTAAGTTCAAGTCTAGATAATCAGCCTCCACCTAATGAAAAAAGAAAAATCAGAAAAATTCTGGAAACTTTCAACTTAACAGGAGGGAATAGAAACTGAGATGTAGAAATAAAAAGGGCAACATTCAAATTACCACAAGGCAGCCAACAAAAGTCTATTTTAAAAATTATTTTGGCCTTCCTTTATCTTTCTTTTTACATTGTATAACTGTACAATAAAGACAACTAGTATTAGAGCAAATCTCTTCCAGATGCGCTGACTGATAGTTTATGCTTCATGTCCCCATCAACACAAATTAGGTTGATTCTACACACCCTCCAATCATCTACAACATACTGAATTTTTTCAGACTGAGGATTTCAGAGAAATAGAACAATTCTATATATAGGCCTATATTTCATAATAGAAAACACGAGAAGTGAAGAACTAAAAAAAGAAGCACACGAAGATGCTCACAATAATGTGACATGTAGAAGTTCCAGCAATCACAACCAAACGCTGGTCCAAGTCCGGAAGTTGACTTTTGCTTGAAGAGCAACTGACACATGCTGAGAATGATGACACGAGCATAGGAAACAGTTATTAACTTAATAATGAGTAAAAATATGATATTTGTTCATCAGTCTGAACTTGTAGTTGACTATGCTGCAAAATTTTAAGAGCCAAGTCTTAATTTATAAAAGGGTTTGAATTCTCCTTGTCCCTTCTGCAATACAGTGAAACCTGCTCAAACGACTATTCGTCCAGTGCAATCACTTGTGTAAACAACCATTTCCTATTTCCCCCTCACAGTTTTTCTATATTATAAGGACACTGTCCAAGAGAAACACCTGTTTAAGATGACCATTATTCCCTCGACATTCGGTGGTGGTCATGTTTGACTGCATTTACTTTCATTTCAAGCGCTTGACTATATCTACCCTGGGGCCAGGTTTGTAGCAAACAAGACAAGCATCCCAACTTATTTATCTTCAAATCCTGCACAAATCTGGAATTTTGTAAATTCCTTCTCCTGCTCTATCAGTATCAGAGGAGAGTGCCCCACCCCAAGGCTAACGAACCCAAAACCATTCTTCAATCATATATCAGTCACATATATAAGAGACTACTACCTCGTCAGACATATAGTTCTACACTGATGGGACAATAAAATATGCTACTGTACAACAATTATTCAACACAATTTTTACCGAGAGCTCCGGCATGAGCATCAATGAGTGATGTCCCAACTGGTATGCCCACTCTGAGGCCGAGTTCATCAGCTGCAGTCTGAGAGAGGCCCTGGCCACATGGACAGCCTGCTGCTAAGACAACTTGCCCTGGATCCAACACAACAGACACAATAAGGATACAGGTTGTAGATTAAGTTATGTTATTACCAGACTGATGATGTAGATAAATTTCAGTTTATAAAGCACAAAGCCCTGAAGTAAAATGTATATATGGCATGTGTCATGAGGCGGTGGAATCAAGCACTCGTCAATTTTGGGGTAAATGAAGTTTTTGGTACCATCATAAAGCCTGTTTATTTATCTCAGCTTCCCCCCAGACACCACCCCCTCACCATCACCAGCAGCTGCCAAGGAATCAAGTTTTGTTGTTCCAGAGGAGGAGAAGGAGCCATCGCTGCTTGGCTAGCCGGTGCAGGCAGGGGCTATGGTCCCTCTGGAATTGACTTTTGAGGTTATTCATTAGGCCACTGTACGTGGGCGTCCACTGCTGGTCGACTCGGACGGCTACGCTTATGGGATTCACCGAGAAAGACGCGGAGTGACACAGTGGAGATGCCCGCGGCGGGGGAACGACTTTACGTGCCAGGCAATGGTCCGTCAGGAAGGGGCATCCACGAGCAAGCCCATGCTACAGGCACAGGGACAGCAACAAAGGCCAAGGTTGTTCGTGACGTCAAAGAGGAGACTCTCGCCAACCCCTTCCAGTCAGCTTACACCATCGCCGAGTGCTTGGTTGCCAGCAAGGACGCCCAAAACATCCCACTGATCTAGAGTTTGATCTGGCCATGGATTATGTCCCAGCAGAATTTGAGAAGGCAGATATCACTGTGGGAACCCGCCGCCATCTCCTGTTGATTACACAGAATCAGTTTCAGAAGTCAAATTAACAAGAAAATGGCCGCCAAAGTTTGGTAATTTCCAAAGTTTGAGAGACATTGGAAACTGAAAACTGATTTTTTTTTTTGGCCTTTAATTAACGTTTTTCCGTAAAATCCGCACAGACCTGTGTTTTTGAATGGTTTTAAAAGGTGCTGAGCCAAAAATAAAAAATTTGATAAAAATTGCCAAACCGACGAAAAATGCCGATTTCTTTAATTTCATTATTTTGACGAGCACCTGATTTCCCCATGATGCCTCACATATATACGTTAATATACAATAAAAAATCTTGATACTTTACTAAGCATACAGAGCACATTTCACTTTGCAAGGCCATAGGTAACCTGAAGTACCCACTATCTCAACCATTTTTTAAAGTCAAGACTGAATTCCTTCTGAAGTTCTATGAGAACAGATCTCCCCGATACACTGAGAAGAGAGGTGTATGTGAGCCACATAAACCAACAGTAACATGCATGTTACCTAAGACATCCTTAGAGGAGTGTTTTGGGGTGGGCAGAATGGGAAAGAAGTCAGAACCATCCCCCAGTTATATCCGTAGCTCCCTCTCTTAATCCATCAGTCTATCCAGCTACACCTTCCCTTCTGCCTACTTGTTTTTCCTTATACCCAGTGCCCATTGGCACGAACGGTTCAGTTCGGTTCAGTTTGGTAGGCGGGGCTAGCCAGATTGAGGGCGCAAAGCAACCATCGTGGCACTAACCGATTCGCCCGACACGCAGCCTAAAAAACGAACGCATCTATTTGTTTTCCAGCCGCGAATTGGGCAATCGGTTGGTGATCAGTTTGTTGATCCCCCAATGGGCACTGGGTATTACACAGATTTGCCAGCAGACATCCTATCACCATCATGGAGTAATGACACTATTTGGTTTGTTCCAAACAACTCAAATCAGGTCAATAAGCCACATAAACCCACCAACCCACCCCTGTTTTGAGTCTCAACACCTTCACATATAGATCTAGACTTTAAGCATAGGGGGCACAGTTGGCTGGAGGTGGAAAAGATTGCTCAGAATAGAGACAGGTGGAGAGCCCTCCTTAGCAGCCTATACCCAATACCAGGATGAAAAAGGGGAATGATAATGATGACCTTCACATACGTATATAGGTGCACCACCACAGGAAGAGTTCCTTTACATGCAGCTTTTATGTATACACTAGCTGGGCCCCCTTTCGATGAAAGGGATGATCGGTGCATTAACATCAACTGACAGTCATTGGCCTACTATATTTACACTCTACTGGAATGGGGTAATAAATCTTGAGAGATGCAAAAAATTAGAAGGTCTAGATCTATACTCTCAAAACAAAATGCGCCTCGTGAAATATCACTTCCAGATTTTCTAAAATTGCAGAGACGAAGCGTCGGCCTACAAAAGCGATCAGCGAAATGAAGAAATTTAGCTTTTTGCTTCAAAACTGTCTCAAAACTGAAAAAACCAAGGGCGCCATGATCTGGAGAATATTTTAAATAATTTTTTGGCGAAAACTGCATGTCGATTAGTGCAGCCAATAAAAAGCCTTTTGAACAGTAAAATTCGGCCACCACAAATAGATAACAGATTACACACACAACTCATTTTCAAAGCAAATCTAAAAACATTCATATCTCAAAACAAAATCAAACACATTTCCAATAAAAATGAACAAATCAGTTAACCCAGTTTGCTGTAACAATTCTCTTTCAGCTCCTCTAGACCAAGTTTTCCTAAGAAGTCATCATCCCAGGACGTTCTCCCTGTGTTGTCGGCCTGATAGCTCCACTTGCACACCAAGGAACACAAAGACCTGGCATGGAGGAGAACATGTTTAGAACAAAGCACCCGCTACACATGAAAGTAAACCTATCATGCATTATAGCTTGATCTGTGATTCTAATGATGCGAGTCATTCAGCTTCAATGGGAAGCACACTTTACTTGGGACATTCAAAGTTATCCAAAATGTAAATCAATCCCCCCCCCCCCCCCCCCCCCCAAAGAAAAAATTTATGCATTTGGTCAATTCCATAACATGAGAACATGAGTGGCATTTATAAGTAAAAGAGAGCTGCCATTTGTCAGTGAGGCTACTTGAGTGTCGTTCAAATCTGTCGGTGAAAAGCCTCTACAGACTATGTCGTAACTCTTCAAGTGATAGTTTAACCACAGAACTTTCACTGAGTCACAGTTTAATTTGTCATTTCTTTGTTACTATAAAATTACTATAAACCGAACTATAACATGACGTACAAGTGTATATTAAACACTAAAATGCTCACAAGTGAATGAGGTTGTGGAAAAATTAAATAGCAACAATGAATTTTAACATCAGGTCAGTTTTCACACTTGGTTTCTCCTGTGAATGGCTGTCACAACATTGTCTTATTAAGTTAAGGTGGGTCAACAATCCATCCAGCTGCTTCATCTTTAGAGACGTTATTTGATTCAGTCTGTCGAAGTGATTCTCCATTAACTATATTTATCTCTTTTGCAACATGAATGTTTATTTCATTTTCTGAGTTTTTCTTGATGAAACAGAGTCAGACCAAGCTGAGGCTCGAACCTCCGAACCCACTATCTCAGCATTACAAGCATGTTCGCCTAGCCACTAGAACATCAATACCACCAAGAAATGACAATTACCAAACAAATTTCATTTTGCACAAGTCCAATTTTTATAAATTCCTTTAAAAAAATGCAATGTTGTAGTTTAAAAGCTATTTATTCATTCAGAAGGAGTACACAGGTACAAATGCGACAGAAAAGCATTTAACACAGCTAAGGCTAAAAATCTAAAAATTCTTGTTCACTGCACACAACAAAGTTAACAAACTTACCTACTCAAGCTATTTGTAGCTCTCCAAGTAAGGAAGTCAGGCAAATCAAAAAAGTGAGCAGCTTCAGCCCATGTCTGAGCAAGATGCTGAAGAAACAGAGGCAAAAACAGAGAAAAATAGTGTACACATTAAGGCTGGGATTATAGGCCAACGGGTAATTGGGTATCAGGGTAATACCTGGGTAATGAAAAAAAATACCCAAGTACCCAGGTCAGGTACCCGACATTCCAATTATCACATAGTGTTTCTGTGATGCTCTGCCTGCTAGTCATCTTATTTGCGTGTTTTCCCTTCTAATACTTTAAGAGGTTTGAAGTTGAAGACCCGTCAACTTTTATCATGCTTTTGCAGATGTTGCAGGAGGCGATTTTTCTTCTTTTATTTTCTCAAAGTAATCCCAAGCGTTTGACTTTTTTAAAGACATCTTGATAAAGACTGTGCTAAAATGACAAAGCCAGAGCTATTTAAATATTTTACTTCACATAATTCTTAGAAATTTTCCGCTTCTCCCTTGGATTCTTAGAACAAAACACAAGTTGCTCCCGTATATAATAAGGACACTAAAATTAAAACTATAGGCCTAACCCTAGCAAAGTATCTGATTGATTCTTGGAAACTTTCTTATAACCTGCCCAAATGTGGCCTTTTATGTGGTCTGCTGGTTTCCAGGGAGAGGAGGTACATGTAGTGGTACTTCATTGGCCAATATCGAGTACTGTATAGACTAAGACGATAAGTATTCAGTACTTAATGAGGTTCGAAGGAAGGGACATAATTTAAGTGCATTTGCATAGTATTAACAAAGGGGAGTAGAAAACACGGGTACCCGACACCAATACCCGGGTAGCTGGTTTCGAGCTCTTTACCCGGGTACCCGAGTAACTACCCGGGTACTCGTCCAGCCCCAATACACATTCAAAGTCAATCCTACAGGCTTTTTGGGAGCCTTAAATAGAACCTAACACTTCACCTAAGTTTAAAATGCAACTCGCAGCAGAATACAAATATACATTTATACGTAAGAGGAACTCTTCCTTCCAACTAATCTGTCTATCTCAAAAGTGCCTCTCTTCATTCACATCACTCAAATCACTGTAACTGATTTCTCAGAATACATCCACAATGGCCCTTCACCTCTTTTTACAAAAAAAGAATACACACGATAGGTAACAAATAATAAACATATGTTTAAGGATAACCATACCTTTTTAATCCACATTAATTTAGGGGTCTGCATTTCCAGTGACATAACTCCACCAACGGAATCTAGCACAGGATGTTTGGTAGAGTTGATGAACTCTGCTTCCTTCTTAGCTCGATGATCCATCCACATGATGATGTTCTGCTGTCTTTCCCCTACATGAGAAAATAAACTAGCAAAATTTAGCAAGCATTTTATTTTGTACAGCAATGACACTTTCATGGCAATAGAAGTTCGTCAATGAAAACTTAAACACGGGCAAAGAAGAACAGATGAAATGTCATCTTTACTTACTTTACTTTACTTTTCCAATCCAGCGGCCATTTGAGTTCAAACCCTTCGGCCTGTCAATATGGTAAAGAAATTGCAGGCTTATATGAGCTGTGTTTTGTTGTTGTATAGAGTATTTCCGATGTCTGGGGAGACAGGTAGGAAGGTACTGCGCAGGTCGCTAAGTGCAGAGCAGGTAAAGAGGTGGTGTGATACTGTTTATCCTGGCAGTCACACAACGGGCAGTCGGGTGGAGTATCCTTGCGGATCCTATTTAGGTAGGAATTCAGTGGGATGTGTTGTGTTCCCAGATGAAAGATAGCGACTTGTTCTCTTCTACTCAGGGAATTTAGTTCATCTTTTGAGTTGGGAGCAGTCATGTGTGCAAATGCATTTCTTCCAGTTTTGCCCATTGCACAACCATTCAGCCACTGTTCCCTGGTGTTACATTTGATGATGTCCTTGACTGTCTGTTGTGATACTGGGTTTTGAGGTTGTGTTTGTGATGCTCCCTTCTTGGCAAGGGTGTCTGCTATTTTGTTTCCCTGGATATTGGGACGTCAGGTCGACGGCATAGGTCTGTATGAAGGTGTTGATTATTTGAGCCACAGATAGGCAGGCTGGGCTTTCGAAATTCATGTTTTCCAAAGCTTGGAGTACTGATTTTCTGTCTGTGAAG